TTAGTTATATAGTATTAATATATAGTATTAGTAGATACTCCTACTATCTCGTTAGACTATTTTTATAATTTTTTAACTTTCCTTCTTATAAAGTTTATAACTACGGATATCTTTTTTATATCCTCTTATATTTTTTATATTCTTAAGTCTTTAAATCTTTAGATTATTTAAATAACTTTATTACTTAATATTATAAATAATATATATTATAACACGGACTATCTTATTAAACCTAATAGGCCTAGCTCTATTTATTAAGTTCTATACCCTAAATCTAGCTTATTATTATTTAAAAAAAAAAGCCGTTACCCTAAGCCTTTATTATAAGCTTAGGGGCGCTTTATACTTAATAATACTTTATTTCTCGTCTCTATACTTTTTAAAAAGACGGGCCCTTTTACTATTTATTATAAATATATTAAAATTAAGTAATTACGATATTATATTCTTTAAAATATTCCTAAATATATTATTACTAAGCGTAAACTTTATTTAAACTAGAGGCTAATTTATTAATAATAATATTACTTTTTTATTAATATTATAATAATAATTACCTACTCTATAAGGGCCCTTAATATTTAATACTATTTATAATAACGGAATTATAACTAGTATATAGTGCGTAGTTAAGCTATTATAATTATTATTAAAGCTAAACTATATTAATAATAAATAGGCTAGAACGAGAGGAAGGCGTTATTACTAAATTAGGTTAGTTAGAAATAAAGTCTAGGGACTGCTAGAAGTTAAGTAATAAAGTACTTAGTACTTAGTAATAATATAATTATTATTTAAAAAATTAAAAGTTAAAAGTTAGCTATTATTTTATAAAAGAGTTATTAATAAAAGAAGTCCTATATATACTTATACTTATATTATAGAGGTAAGGATAATAATAAAAGGATATTAATAAAGAGGATATTAGTTAAAAATAATATATTAGTAGTGGCCCTTAGTAATATATAACCCTAAAAGGTTATTAATAAAGTAGTAATAAGCGGGCGGGCCGCTATAAAAAAACGGCTATGCTTTTATTAATAATTGTTTTAATAAATTATCATAATAGTTGTTAGAGGCTATAGTAAAGCTATTTAAGTATAAATAAGCTAGGATAATAACATTAAATTTAAAAATTATAAGTAGGTTTATTAAATTATTTATTATATAAACGATTTAAAGATTTAAGGATATAGAAAAGAGATTTATTTATTATTTAATAGCTTAATAAATCTTTTGTATTTACTTTAAGAATATTAAAGTTTTATAAAATATATTAATATATTAAAATATTTAATATTATATTTAAAAATATTTATAATACGTTAATTATGTTATAATTTAGTATAATATAGGTTAAAAGTTTAAAAATTATAATAATATAACTTTAAATAGCTCTAATTTTAATAATATTATTATTATAATTAAGTAAATAACTTTTATAAGCCGTTTACTTACTTAGGTATTATATTATATAACTTTTAAAATAAATAATTAATAATATAACTAAACGTTTTATAAAAGTACTTTTTCAATAAAAGCTCTATATATATTATAAAGTACTATTATACTTTTAACTTAATAAAATACGTATATACTAATATATTTATTTTTAATTCTATTTTTAATTGCTTAGGCAGTTCTTAATATTAATTATATAATATTAATATATAATATTAATAAATTCTCTTACTATCTCATTAAACTAATTTTTAAATTTTTTTACCTTTTTAACTTTCTTTTATAAAGTTTATAATTACGGATTAATAATAATATTAAGTACGTAACTATTTTATAAATATACTATATACTTAATTAAGTTCGTTATCTCTTTAAATAATAATAACTTATAATAATAATATTAAAAATACCCTTATTATTATTATTAAAAATAATACTAACCTTATTAATATCTAAATATATTAACTTATATACTATATATTTATTATTTCGTTTTTTATTAAAATCGAAAATATTACTTTTATTATTATTATTATTATTATTATTATTATTATTATTATTATTATTATTATTATTATTATTATTATTATTATTATTATTATTATTATTATTATTATTATTATTATTATTATTATTATTATTATTATTATTATTATTATTATTATTATTATTATTATTATTATTATTATTATTATTATTATTATTATTATTATTATTATTATTATTAAATTATGTACTTATTTTTAAATATATACTATTAAAATACCGAAATACTTAAGAATTATCGACCTTTAAGGCTTTTTAATAACTAAAAATTCGATTTTATAAATATTATACTAAAAACTTTAAATTATAATAAAGTTGTTTTTAAAAATTTAGACTAAATACTATTAATTTAAAAATCTAAAATACGTATATTAATATAAATATTACCCTTATTAATACTTAATTTATATAATATAGTTTTAAATTATTTAACTAACTTTAATATAATATAAAAGTAAATTAAAAGAAATAAAAAAGATATTTTAAATTATTATATAAGATAAAAATAAAAAGTAGTTTTTAATTATTTAAAAAGTAATTAATATATTATATTATTAATAATAGTTTAAGCTATTTAAATAATTATAGCCGGTTATTATTAATTATAAAATTTATTATGTAATATATATAATAAAAACTTAATATTAACCTTCGTAAACTAGTTTACTTATAGGGCGAAAATAGCCCTTAATAGGGCGGGCCGACTCTAAAGAGATATATTAATATATACTATTAAAAAAAACTATATATAAAAATATACTTATATAGGATAAGCTTTTTTATGTACGTAGTATATAAAATAAAATAAAACTAAATATAATTTTAAAAGTAATTAATTAAATAGTAATTAATAAGCGGGTTATTATAAAAAAATAGCTATATTTTAATTAATAACTATTTTAATAAATTATTATAATAACTAAAAGCTTAAAATAAAAATATAAAATTAATAAACTTAATATAACGTTAAATTAATACTTAAATTATTATTATAAAGAAATTTAAGAGTTATTTAAGTAACCTTTTTTAGCCTAGTTAAATAGATATTAAGAGTAGTATTATTTCAGAACTATTCCCAAGTCCACTTACTCTAGCGCTAGCAATATTCCATTGAATAGGCACCTTTACACATCACTTATATTCCTTGCCAATGGATTAAGTAACTATCACGACCCACAACGCAGGCGCAAAATTAAAGATATGGCCCATGATAGCTAGACCTACCGTCATCAAACCCTCAAACTCGGAGCACGATGGTATTCTCATGGGTCGCCATGCGGCGCAGTGTCAACGTTGGCCTGACTTCACGGCGGACGTTTTCCTCGCAAAGCAGGTTGACGTTGTCATATGACCTGCATGAGCCCAGCAAGCGACCTGTCGGCGGATCCTCCAACCCCATCATTTTTCTTCATGGTCTCTTCGGATCCAAGAAGAACAACAGGAGTATCAGCAAGCGAGTTCATCTATGACTGCAAGGCTCTGACACGGCATGCTGACCGCCACGTAGAGTTCTAGCTCGTGACTTAGGTAGACCAGTGTATGCCTTGGTAAGATTCATAAGCTGCATCCGCCAGCACTTCGGAAGGGTTTTCACTGAGATTTTGACCAGGATCTACGCAACCATGGCGAATCGCCTCACGCGAAGCAGCACGACTATGTCAATATGGCGGACGACGTTGCTGCATTCATGGACCAGCATAGACTGACGCTGCCCACAGTCATCGGCCACTCGATGTGAGTCGTATCCACGATCGCGTTACGCTGCTGCATGCTGAATGAGATGAACCATTCCCAGGGGAGCCAAGGCTGCCATGACCCTTGCTTTGAAGTCACCCGAACTTGTGCAAGATATCGTAGCGGTTGACAATGCGCCTGTTGATGCTGTCTTGGAGAGCTCATTTAGCAAGTACATTCAGGGTTTGAAGAGAATTGAAGCAGCGAACATTACGAAGCAGGCTGAAGCAGACGAGATCCTGAAGGATTACGAGGACGTGAGATTATTCCACCTTACTCTTAGATGGGTTGCTCGACCAATTTCGATCAATCATGCTCACAATGATGCTGCAGTCTCTCCCAATTCGCCAGTTTCTTCTGGGTAATTTGTATCGGCCCGAGGCTGGCAAGCCGCAGCAAAAGTTCCGGGTGCCCCTCGACATCATCAGTCGGTCCTTAATCCATATGGGCGATTTCCCATTCAAGGACCCGACAAAGACTCGCTTCGAGAAGCCTGCCCTATTTGTTCGGGGAACCAAAAGCAAGTACGTGCCTGATGACGTCCTGCCGACGATTGGGCAATTTTTCCCCAAGTTCCGACTAGCAGATCTTGATGCCGGGCACTGGTGCATTTCGGAGAAACCCGAGGAGTTTCGTCAAGGTACATAAGCACTTCATCCTAAATATCTAGTCACAATACTGATCACTCCTCGGTAGCGGTCGTTGAGTTCCTAAAGAACCAAGATTAGAGAATCCTGGGAAGTAAGCTGCCGTAGCCGTTTCACTCAGAACCAGCAAACCATTAAACATAATAGGCGAGTGTGGTTAAGGGCATGTATTTTGATCAGGCAAATATTCTGGACGGGGCCACATAGACTTGCTATAGACTCAATCCCACGAGGGAGGTTTCGTACGCCACGGTACTGAGGATTGGTCAGGCGGCCCTCATAGGTCGTGTTCTTCACAAGTGAGGGGAAATGAGCCAAGTCATGATGGCCAGGCCACCAGCGGACCTTGAGCTGGAGGGCGAGAATCCCGTGAGGGAAGCAGCCTCGCATTTCCCATACCCGTGCTAGACAACTCGCAGCCAGGCTGCGTACACACGTTGCAGAGTGTCTTTGAAGAATTGACCATTTACCATTTTGAGGTACCCTAGACCCGCAGCCGCCTTATATGCTACGCCATGTGCAACGACCTAAAACAATGCCGGATTTGTTTCCCGGCTGGTAGAGCCAGAGTCCCCTTCTGCCGGAGCATCCATCATGCAGGGCCTGATTTCTTTAAACCTCCTCAAGAACGCGCTCCTTGAACTCCCGCTCAACCTTCTGTCCCTGGTCGTCGGTGCCAGACTCGCCGTGGAGACCCATAAGGGCACCGAGATCGAACTTGGGCTGCTTGAGAAGCTTGACCTTGCGGATGTGGACCTAGGATGTTTGTTAGTACCACGAAGTCACTGGGCTAGTGGCGCCGGTAGGAAAGTTGCTTACGTTCTGCAGGGGGTAGATGCCCTGGGTAGACTTCTCAATCTCACGGCCGATGACCTCAGGGATGAGCTTGGAGGTCAGCTGGGTGAGAGTGCAGGTAGAGGCCTCGCGCTGGATGATCTCAGTCATCTTGCGGCGGATGGCACGGATTTGCGAAGAAGCAGCATATGTGGTCTTCTTGATCTGGTTGGGGCGGCGCTTGGTGAAAGCAATGGCGAAGAGGCGGAGGAGGTAGTCGTCGGTGGTCTTGACGGTGACGTTGGCCTCAATGAGAGTCTGCCACTTGCGGACGAGGGAGCGGAGCTTGTCGGAGGTGAAGTCGAGGCCGTGGAAGTTGGTCAGGCAGTTCTTGCCCTGGACCTCATCGACACGAAGCTTAACCTTGCGGAAAGCGTGGTCCTCATCCTTCTGGAGATCAGCCAGAGAGACCTCCAGAATGCGGCCCTTCAAGGCGTCGTTGGCGTTCTTGAGACCGGTGGTTCTGTTGACCAGGGTCTTGCCGACACTAAAAGACACGCGCAGTCAGCACCCATGTGTCCGATGGCTCAATTCCTTCTCGCGCTCGGCTGTCGACAATGGCTGGATGTCGAATCGTGATCCACGGCGGATTTGGGCTGAGAACTCACTCGCGAACGTTGAAAGGCGCGGGGGCCTGTGGGAGAGAAGCAAAAAAAAAAACCAGTCAGCAAACTGCAAATAATGGCGTCAAGACTCGTTTTGCACAGCGGCAAAACACATACCTTGATCTGGTACCAATCCTTGCGGGAGAAGGGGTCCACGGTCTTCTTCTTGAGACCCTTCTTGCCCTTGGACAATCTCTTGTTCCTGCGAGGGAAACACTGGTTAGCTGCTGTTGACAGTCTGCGCCTGGGAGATGACGGTTGCGGTTGGTGGCATATCGTCGTCAATTCCTCCAGAGGTAGTTATTCTCACTTTCCCACAGCCATTTTGGGCGGCTGTTAATTGTCTGGCGGATGAACGTTGAGTAGTTGAAAGGTTTGGAGGGGTGGTGGTTTCGCTGGTGATAAAATTCAAGATGCGAGAATGTGTGGCTCGAAATTCTTAGCGAGTGTGCCCCGTTCGAATTATGTAATCCGGGTTTTTTTCCAGCATGGGGCACTGTGCATGCCCCTGCCCCGACCACGCCAGGGCAAGCACCGCGTGGGCCCCGTCAGGAAGAAGCACAGTAATCAGCTATCGATCCCATATTCAGCACTGTGAATCACGTGACTTGCACTTTTTCACAATTCTCTGGCGCTGGAGCCAGCCCCAAGAGTTCCACTTATGAGACGTCAGTGTCTCTGCAACTTTTCAGTCAGTGCCTCCAATTGGTTGACTTTTCAAGGCCACTTTGGCCAGTGACATGTCATCACAATGCTCCGGCCCCCTAGTCAAGATGGAAGGCCTTACAGATACCACTGTTGGAACTATGCCCCGCCTTCGGAGCAAGGTGAGGTGGGCGTGATGCCCTGTGCCTCCACATTGTGGTGATCGGTGAACGGGTCTCCCTCCTTACCGAGATTTACATTCATTCAGGTCTGTCCATGAACAAGCACGACAACACGAGGCTGGTGGTGTATCTTTACTTTACGCTTACATTCTTACCACCTGTGTAAACCTATGTACCCTCTTATTTTGGTTCGGTTTGTGACATACGTACGGGTATCACACCTAGAACAGCCTCGGAAAGCTAGATATCCTACAAAATCCCACAACGCCATTGAACGAACAACGCGGCTTTTGCATCTCTCAGGGGAAAGATGCGTAACTCCTCAGCCGATTCTGACCCCACAAAATCAACGCCTTGGCGCTAGAACGAACCATATTTGAGTCTCATCAACGTCGATGCTTTCAGATCGACCATTCCGTACCGTTGTCCGGGCTATTTCTTATTTTTTTCGCGCCGTCTCCCCTCTCGTTCTTGCTTCCTCCTTGCTCGGATACCAGCTGGCAGCAAAATGTCGGTAGGCCGATGTCTCTTGTTTCTTCGCCTTGTTCTGTATTCACGTAGAACGCTTATTATGTGCTGAAACTCCCGGTAACAGCATTGGACCCCCTCGGGGAAGTTCCTCCACGTCGACTGATCACGACAATTTTCCCTTTCATACGTCTTCCTCCTTGTCATCACTGCGCCGTTCTTCATCCCACGCATCAAAATTGGGAAAGCTGAAATAGCCGTTCGCGTCTGCGCACACTGGTATCAGTAATTCGATCGTCGGATGCTGGTATCGTGGCAGTCTACGAACAAGATAGGTGTTCTCGATGACCCTGGACTCGATTTGTAGTTGGAATGGTCATGTCGCCGGCGCTGAGCGACGCCATATGGGGAGCGGCCACCGACGTCGGTGAGTATTCGGGAGCATGACCCGAACATACGGCAACGCGGCTGAGGAGTTCGGTGGCCCTTTGCGACGACTGCGGGCTCGAAATGGCGCCACGGCTGGCATTGGATGTCGTTGTGATGGTAGGTTCCGTCGCGCTGGCTCGTAGGAGCCTTGGTCGACGTCGACGGTCCGGCCGAGGTGATGCCTCTCTCCTCCGCACACCGTCCGTATCTCGAAGGTCCCGGGAAACGGTCGCCATCACGTTGAACAAATATCCTGGTATAGGTTTGGATCAGACCGATAATGGCACGACGGCGATCGAATTTGCAATAATGCAACAGCTCTGGGATGATAAGGAACCATGATTGCTATGTTGCGCCCCTCATCAAGTGGGCGTCGCGCGCGTTAACAACAAGCCATCACCTCCGGCTACTCGGCGGGAATGTCAATTCCTTGGGGACGGGCGAGCCCGGTCGACGGTTTTCCGCTGACAGTAACAGCGTCCCATCATTGGACCACATGGCCGGTGCCTGATGGGGAACCGGCTCCCAACTATGTGTCTGGTGTTGTATGGGTCGGTGAGCATCTGTTTGGGCACTTATACGCAAAGGCCATGCATGGCCGGCGTCACGCCTGCAGCCATTGTGGGGTTGCCAACCGCTTCGTTGACCATTTCCCGTGAGGTCCCGCTCAGACGAACCCAATCAAGACCGCCCATGGCCATAACATTTCCAGACCGGTCAAGGACACGCGATACTGCTCGAGCCGTTGTACTCCGTACCATATCCTGCACAACTGTAAGTTAATATGTAGGTAGTCATGGTAGTAAATTCGTACACCAAAGGATTCTGCATCGGAACACCCCCGGTCAGTCACAGACGAGGTTGGGCCTATCTATACCCCAGCCTGGTTTCTTTGCAGCCGAGTGGTGCGACAATCACGGCTGATCGTCGCCTCTGGACACTAGTAGACTCCCGCGGCTCTGTGCAATCATTACATGTGTTGCAGCTGGTTCGGTTACCCTTGCATTATTGCTAGACAAGTCAGTTCAACGCATGCAAGCTATCTCACTAGGCGCGGGGTCGGTTCCTGACCACAAGTGTTACGTCTGTCTAGATACATGCAGTTTGGCTCTAGATATTACCAGCTGGCCAAAGTGCCATCGATCCGGATTTCCACGCCTCACTTAGCTCCCATCTACCGGTCCAAGACTGGTATGCGGCAGGGATACCACACATAGGTTATACTGCATGTTCTACCAAGCCATTGCTGTCGGCAATGGTGCAGGTGTTCCACGGAGAGGCCAACACTGCACCGACTTATATAGGAGCTTCATCGGTTCTCACCGATGCCTTGTCATCCATTATTTGGACTAAGTATCACAACCACGTGCGTAATCACCTGAAGCTGGCGATGTTGCCTTTATTTGCCCCCTCTCCTAGCGAATGCCATTTCTGCAGGAGCTAGTGGTCGAGACTGTGAAGTAAGGAAGGATTTGGTCAGTCATTCACGACGCTTGCAAGCCGGGGAAAGCAGGGAGACTTACTCTTCCCACATCCTGCCCTGCACAGCTCTTAACTCTTCTTCGGTCATGCGCTTTCCGGCAGTGAAGTAACCTATAACAACTCGTTAGTCACTGATAGCGGGCCTCGCTCCCCTTCTCACTTGCATACCTGCAGTAATCTTTGCATCAATCTCAACGCGAGAATCTGCGGGAATCCACTCCTCGGGGAGCTCAACACGCTCGTGAATGGGAATTCTAGAAAAATTATCAGCAAAATCTGTAATACTGACATGTAATAAAGTCGCCATTACCCTTGTCCTACAATGGCATCATGTTTCATGCTGTTGTGGTTCACGTTAGCGTCATGGTATCTTAGATGAGGAGGAGCTACTGACTTGCTCATGCTCAGCATTCTATCAATCTTGCGGATTCCGAGCCAGTGCAGGATATCGGGCATGAGAGCCTGGAAACGCATATCCTTCACTCCAGCAATGTTCTCTGTTCTCTTGAAGTAGTCCGATGCTCGGTCTTCTCCCCGCTTACGAGCGTTGTATACGACTTGGTGGTCAGTTAGCAGCCTGTCATGAAACGTGTAGCCTCGGTCGCCCGTGTGTAGTCTTTACACGAGCAAGGAACGGATGCCAAACAAGCAAAGAAGTACGTACGATACTATATAACTGTCATCAACTCATGCACAATCAATCTTGGAACTTGGCATTGCTTACCTTGGTCACTTCACCGAGGGCTCTGCCCTCTTTTCGGAAGTAAATAACGACACCACTGCCACCATTCTGCGCCTCCTTGACTGCCTCTTCGATACCGAATATGAGATAAGGGCGACAGGTGCAGATATCGGATCCAAACACGTCGCTACCATTGCACTACGGTACGGTTAATTGCAAAACTACACGTAGCAGTGAGACGACAAACCTCATCGTGAATTCGCAATGCCAGTCGTACTGACTCGTCGGACATCTTGGCCGGGTCGCCGAAACAGTATACTGTCAGACCACCTACATGATACACATTGTCAGTTCATCCTCTTGCACGAAGCCTGGGTTCTATTACCTATGGGGGGTAGAAACACCTTAATATCGTTGCGGGTGATCAACTATGACAAATGGTCAGCGTGCGCGTCTGAGGGGTAATAGGGGCCATCTACCTCGGGGTAGCTGCCACCAGTGTGTTCGAAAAGAGACCTTCGCAAGGCCCCCTCGTCTGTTTGCAATTAGCTGCTGATAGATTCCCAGATAGTTGTAGCCTGACGAACCAATGCCGAATCTCTCAGCTACGCCGGGGAGATACCAAACCTGTGCGAAGAGCGTCAGCAAACAATCTGAATCAATAGCTGGGGAGCTGACATACCGGCTCGACGGCGAACTTGGTTACGGCCAGCTCTCCAAGCTCGTTCAAGCAGACTTTGCCGTCAGGAACACTAGCCAGTTAGTCTCTACAACGACGCCCACCGTTTCCTGGTCATGGCTTCACTCACAGTCTTCCGCTCTTGACGCTCTCCTCCAGCTCAGGAAGCTAAACATGGTCAGATGACGTGATATCACTCCAGTAGGCGCAACGGTACCTTCATGTGTGCCTTAGTGATGGCGATGGTTGGGCGAATGTCGACTATGGCGATTCAGTCCAAGATCTCATGTTGGAAAAGGTGCAAGCTTAATGTATCTACTCACCGTTGTGCTTCTCGATAGTGTCCTTGAAGAGCCAGGGAGACAGGTGGCCCCAGGGATCCATAGCGACAATCTTCTTGGGATCTCCCCACTGAGGGAAGGGGCCAATCTTAGCAGCCGGCTCCGTGTTGGTGAAGTCGGGTCTACAATCAATGAGTTTATGTGCTGGTTTCGGCGACAAAACGGCTCACCTATGCTCGAGATTAAGTTGTTTGCTAGCAACAGCCAGGGCATAGTAGATGGAGTAAGAACCACCGCTGCGAGTCCACGGTCAGCTATCCTGTCCCGCAACAAGTCATATTCTTCCCTTTGAGATGGCCGAAAGGGTAGTCCATGGATGGGTTACTCACTGGGCTAAAATCACATGTCAGTTCAAGACAACTTAGTAGACAGGTAAAGGTATGTACTGACCTCCGACAGCTTGAGAATAGACAAAAGTGTCAGCTAATGTTGCTTGTTATGCGTAAGTAAGGGGGCTGGGCCTACGGACCGTTACGTCTCCCAATAGTAGTGGATGAACGAGAAACAACAACTGGGCCACGACGATGGGGGTCCGATTCGCCCCAATTCATGGGGAGAGGGTTGATGCCGATCTGCTTTGGATAAGTCCTGGAATAAGAGCATCAGTCAGAGAGAGATCTGCCATGGTGATGGGAGGCAGGCGGTGCACCACAGTAGCTGAAAACGTACGTTAGGATGATGCGGGAAGTGAGGCCGGATCGCTGGCTGGGTGACGAGGGCACAGCTGGGGCCTGCAAGGTCAAATCGGACGAAGAGCTCTTGGCAGAATCACCAACGGCATCGGAAGGCTCGGGGGTTCGAGATCTTTCAGGGATCTCGCTGAGGGATGGATTCGGACCGAGTGCGGCGGCATCAGGATCAACAGGCAGCTGTTGGTATCGTTGGTTCAGCAAGTCGACAGCAGCCACAAGGTCAGACTGAGTCTGCTGGATGGATTTCAAGGAGTTTATGACTTCGGCCAAAGAGCCGTCGTCAACGGTAGGTTGGCCCATGACGATCAATTCTAGTTGTCACACTACAACGGCAGAAGACACAGAGAGAGAAGCCTTGTGAGGAGGTCGCCGCGTCTTTCAAAAATGCGCTGTGTTGGAGTGTGAGAGCCCGTAGACAAACTGCTGTAATGCTTCACGAGGGAAGATTGAGCAGGAGGGACGGGGATTCTGACCGGAGACTAGGTGGAAGTAGGAGGAGAAGGAGGAGGAAGAGGAAGAGGAGAAGAGGATAGAGAGGCGGGAGACGTGGAAAGGAAGCTGGACGAAATGAAGTTTAATAGGAGGCGAGTCCAAGTAAGACAAAGCTAGAGTATACCATGTAAGGTAAGGAGGACATGGGGACAGCTATCTCTTGAGAGGCAAGGCATGCAATGGCAAGTCGGTGACTACCGATGGCTGGTCCACTGGAGGGCCAAGGATGAGGGACGAGGATAATGACTATATCGAAGCCAGCAGCGAGGGCTATGTAGTAAACAGCATGAGAGAAGATAGAGATGCACAAAGAAGAGACGGTCGACGCCCCGAGGGCGATCTCGTGACACCATCGGAAGGCGCCGCGCCTGAACATCAAGCTGGCCGGACGGGGAGGGGCAAGTATCCACTACCGTGCCCGACTCTTCTTATCCGTGGGTAGCAGGTGATGCGGTACATGGGCTTTCAAGTCTCACGGACGTCCAGTCCCATCTACCTTAGTTCGGGCTAGGGACGGGGGTTGGGGTGCTTTCCACCTTGCCTTCCTTACCTTACCTTAAGGCACCTACCTACCTAAAGGAAGGGTAGGCATGCAGGCACCTGCACCCTCCCCCGCCTACCGACCTTACAGGATACGCTTACATAACACATCCTGAGCGAGGGGCAATCTAAGTACAAGGCATAGAAGCAGACTCGTGCATGACATATAGGTAGTGCAATGTTGAGTAAGGTACGGAGTAGTTGTCCAGCTTACCTGACCCCAAAGTGAAGACGTGGAGTTCTGCTGCGTAGTAGGTGAAGCAGGTAGGTAGGGTAAGGTAGACTCTACCCAGGTATGCTCAGCATTGCTAGTGATAAGCATCATTGCTTGTGGGGAGGTCTACGATAAGGTATGTATGTACATAAAGACTGTATGTGTGGACCTGTGGTGATGCGGCGGCGGTGCCCACCTGAGTTGTCGGCTTGCGGGGCCGTCCGCGACCTTCCCAAACACCCAGGGCAGACAAGGACTCGGTGGAGGGGGAAGGCAGCTTGATGCGGCTTCGAGCGCCCAAGATAAGGCGACCGACGGACCTAGCGGTATTTATACCTTACCTTACCTAAACACCCATCACGAAAGCACAAAGGCGTCCGAGGTGAGCAGCTACTCAAGACCCTAATAGAGGGCATAAGACAGGAACGATGTTGAAGGCAATGAATGCATGAGGTAAGGTTTAGAGGGTTTTGCCTTAAGGGATGCCCTCCCACAACCCCTCACTTGCCAGGGTATCTAGATCGAGGATGTCTGGTGTCTTACGTGCCTTACCTTTTAGCAACAACAATAACAACAACAATGGCTTATTGCGTAGCTCAAGAACACTGCATGTTGGATGCAATGCGTGAGGTTTCTGTTTGAATCTGATAATTGTGCAGGTGACATATGGGACGGCTATGAGCCGCCCTAGCTTGTGCATCAAGTGCCGGACTCCGATTTCGTTCCTCTGATCCTGAAGTAGGTACGGGGTACGGTAGATGGGCAATATATGGATAGTACCTAAGGTACCTTACATGCCTTCCATTACCTCAAGGTTAGAGCGGGGGATGCTTTCCAGGCTTGATACCTTATCGATTGCGCGCTTAGGTACTTAGGTAGGTACCTTAAGTAGGTAAGGTGCGTGCAGAGCACCTCAGTCACCCCGCTGCCATCCTCCGATACCTACCTACCTTAGGTATAGGTAAGGTACATATGAAAGGTACCTACCTAGGTACCCTAGGTATCTTCTGCGCCAACAGAGCTTTCTGGACCACCGTGACTGGAGTTAAACCTGCGGCACCAGTGTACCTTGCGCCCACGCCGCCTCGGCCAAGGGCTGTCCACCCGCAAAATACATCTGGGAAGTAACCTCCGCGAACTGAAAGTCGCCGTCGCGCATTCCGCCGTCGCATTCGTTGCATCTGCTGGTTTCTTAGCCTCATTCACCACCCGTCGCTGAGCCATCTTCCTCAAACTACCAATCTTATTGCTTTCTTCCACGTCTATCCCAGCCCGTTGCGTACCCTGCGCTTACAACCGAACACGAACGCGGCCAACGACGAACTGCGCAATCTTCCATTCCCCGACACACCCTCTCGCTCCCTTCTTTATTCTACGCGCCGGTCGCGCATATCATTCATCGTCACTCAACATCATGGGGAAGCGCAAAAGTTCGAGCAAACCTCAAGGCCCGAAAAAGGTTCGTTTGCTTCCTCCGCGTGAGGGCTGGTGCAGGTTGCTTGTATGCTGGCGACGCAGTTATTGACGCCAACTCACAGAGAGAGGTTCTTCCCTCCAAGTTCACATGCCTCTTCTGCAACCACGAAGACTCCGTCGCTGTAAAGCTGGATAAGAAAGCGGGTGTTGGTTCGTTGGACTGCAGAGTATGCGGTCAGATGTTCCAGTGTAGTATCAATTGTGAGGCTCTATTCTTGCAACTGCTTTTGTCCCCCCCTTCTCAACACTGCTAAACCCCTGTTAGACCTCTCGGCCGCCGTGGACGTTTATGGAGAGTGGGTGGACGCTGCAGGTAAGTACATATTTGATACCTTAATCGCTGTTGCAATCGCCGTAAGAATGCATTTGACACATGTCTGCAGATGCTGTTGCCAAGGAAGCAGGACCCGTCGGCGGAAGCAATCACAAGACCTCGAGCGCTCGGCGCGCCCCCCCGAGCCGGCCAGTAGACGATGACGACGATGATAGGAGATACGGGGGTGAGGGTATCGACATGGACGATGATGAATACTAGATGAACTAGCAACCTCTTGAGCGTACACGAGGAGGTGCATTGTCAATGAATACAGCCTAAGGTCTGCAACACACGGGGACAAGGACAGTAGTGCAGAAGAAACCCAAGCCGGAGACCAATGCCATACAAAGTTGGCTTTCAGGACATACAGCCACACTTAAACAGTGTAGAACCTGTCCCCAAAATCGCCGAGGCCGGGGATGATGTAGCTATCACAGCCCATTAGTATGACAGAGGCTTCTTAGCATCGCAGGATGCGAACTTACTTCTTTTCGTCCAGACCCTAGAGCAAAACGATTATCAGACTGTGTGATCCGAGGTGGGCTGGGGCCGGCTTGTACATACCTGGTCGACAAATGCCGTGACAACTCTCAATTTGGGGAACTTTGCGGTAAAGTTCTGGATACCCTCAGGGCTCGCAATGAGGTTCAGGAACAGGATGCGGTCCTCGGGAACACCGCGAGCCTTGAGGACCTGGACTGCCATGATGGCGGAACCACCAGTGGCAAACATGGGATCCAGAAGGAGAACCCAGCGCTGGGCGATATCCTCTGGCAGCTTGTCGTAGAATAGCTTCGGCTGGGCTGTCTCCTCATCGCGCTGGATCAAAATCTTGCCGATTCTGACAGAGCGGCAGCAGTCGCGTAAACCTTGCTCCATGGCCTCACCGGCACGCATGATGGATACGCCGCAAATCTTGCCTTGGAACATAAGCCCAGAGTAAGTCCGACCAATGGGTGTTGTCACGTCATGTTCAACGGTAGGCAAATGGTTCAGACCTTCCTCCACGAGCAGGCGAATGATGCGGTTGGAGTAGAAAATGAAGTCACCGCGCTCCGTGTTCTTGTCTCGAATGATGCTGCCGGAGATCAGTAAGCCAACGGTACGACTCAAAGAGGTGTTTCTTTAGTCACGTCTCTGCGTAGGGCCGGTGCCTCGTTATATTCTACTGGGTGTTACGAGGGGTAGGAAGAACATTAGGAAGCTTACGTGAGAAGGGCAATAAGTTGAGGCGTTTGGGACAAGACAACAACGTTGTCTAACTTGATTTCAGTCGAGACAGTGGCCGTGGGCTTCTGACTTTCTGAACGATACAACGGACCGACACACTGAGTAGGTCCACTGCCGCTGACCGACTTTGATTCTTGACTTGCCATTTCTGAAGAAAATTGACTGCGGTATTTGACCAAGATTTACTCGAGCGAAAGGCTGGCGATAGTATGGTAAGGAGGAATGCAAGTGAGGTACCGGTACCGGACGAAGTGGGAGGGGTTTGCAATGGATTTTGACCAAGGATGGCTTGGCTTGGATCTTGAGGGTAGAAGGGGGAGGTAGGTAAAGCGGGCTTTGGGGGTCGAAAAATCCAGAAACTACCTCAAGGTAAGGAAGATGGAAATAGGGCAGCGGGCCAGGAAAGCTTCCAATGGATCGATATAAAGTACCTTTGGGCCAGGTCTTCGCGGGAAGCCACAAGGGTTTAACGGGGTGAACGGATCGAGTGTGCCAGGAGACACAATGGAGCTCGCCGTTCCCCGTTGCTCAGGTCAGATACCTACCTACCTTAACTTAAGATCAGGGTAGATTGCCTAGGTATACCTCGTGTCGAGGAAGGTAACGAAGCGAAGTGGCCCTACGAGAAAACAAAAGCGTCACAACTTGTGGGTAAGGTAGGTGATAATAGGCAGGTAACCATAAATATGGGAAATACTGATTTGGCGAGTAACCATGCTTTTGTGTTAAGGTATGTGTCGAGGCACCTCAAGGCTCTGGAGCTGATGCTCATAGGCACCTGGCTCACCGTACCTAGGTAACCAGCGATAAGGGTCGTGCGGGGCTGGTTTGTGATGTGAGGGGTCATAACTGATCCGATCCATTCGCACATGCAATACCTTGCCCCCTTACCTGCAGTGCCCTGGCACGCCTGGTTTGATGGAGTCTCACCCCACCAACCTGCCAACAAGCATGGAACACTACCTATTTAGATACCTAGGTAATAGGTAGGTACCAGAGGCGAATCAGCCACCTGCCGCAAGCAGACAAATATTCTACGAGACAATAAGCGTGTCTACTCAGTAATCGGGGGGGCACATCTTCCATTGGGATGACCAGGCAGGCAGGCAGGGCCAGGTATATTATGGTGCTTTCCAAGCGGTACTGGTACCTCGAGGCAGGTACCTACCCCAGGTAAGGTACGTGACTACGTCCGGTCATGACAAAAAAGACCCGTCCGGCGGGAGAGACGCTGAGCGGCGCGGCAGCCACAGCACGGCAGGAAACTTGTGCCCGGGCGGAGGACAAACAGACTCAATACCCGTATCCGTCCTTGCCATTGGATCTGAGGTAATGTACTACGCGATGCGCCATACCCTACCATGCTTGTCACGCTTACCTCTCTTCTCTCCAATATCCAGCTGCCTATAAGCGACTTCAAGCGCTGTTCCGCCTGAATGAATTAATCAAACCATTCATCAAAACCCCTCACGTTTGGAGTCCGACTTTGGTCCTGTGAATGTGTAAGGTTGTCTTGCAAACCCCCGGTCTCTACTCTTTGCATCCTCCGCAATGCCTGCCGGCTGTCACCTTGACTAAGGCAAGGCAGAGTCGCAAGCCAGCAGGACGTGCCTCGCCGCAAGCCTGCGCGCCTCACCTCACTCAGCTATAACCCTTCTCGATCCCTTTAGAAACAATAACCACCCACGCTCTGCTTGACCCGCGTCGCTGTCTGCGTCCCAGTTATCACTGGACTCATCGTTCCGCCCATCGTCCGCCATACCGAAATCTTCCGTCCTTGCCAGTAATCACCGCGCATCGCCAGTAACCATCTTTCACTTCATTGGAAACCTACACCGTGGCTCTCAGAAGCCTGTCTGCGTTGGCCACGACATAACATGGCTACCAGGGACGGGCCGAGCGTCCCGCGCAAAAAGTCAACAACTTACGGCAAGACATCGCGAAAACGACCTATCCACGCGTTTCTCGACCTGTCAAATGCTTCACGACGCGCCGGCAATGCTACACAATCAACTGAGGCCTCTTCAGCGCCTGCCGACCAGCTCTACGATCTTTACGACCCACCATCCGATGACCCTTTGCGCCTTGCACTTTCTCGGCAAACTGTGCCACCTGTTGACGCGCCCGTAATCCAGTCGGATGGTGCAAACAAAACTAAGAAGAGGAAGGTGGCGGTGGCGCCTATGGCCGAAGCTGATCGCAAGGTCGAAATCAAACCACCTGTCATCGCTCCGCCAGCGGGCTTGCCCTCTCACACACGCCGAGCGAAATCGCCCTTCAACACAAGCGCATCTACTTCTTTATGCGCCGTCAAACAAGACCCTCTACCACGAGGGCTCGATAGACCCAAGACACTGACGCAAGCCCAACCACGCAAGAGCGCTCCTCGTGCTCAAGCCGAGGTTGAGGTTTCTCGCAGGACCGAGTCCAACTTGCATACACGACAGGCATTCTCACAATCTTCTGAAGCGCGGGTGGTGGGAAAGCCAAGCTCCACGATTACGAGACCACAAGCGACGAAGCCGAAAATGCTGTCCAAGCCGAAGCGTATGCGTCTCATCGATCAGTTAGCGGCGCAAACCGAAGACAGCTCGGACTCGGACTCCGAAATATCAGATTCTTCGCAGCACTCTAGGACGGGAACGACCGATGCTTCTCCTTTCACTCCGATGAAGCCTATTGACATGACACCGAAACCTTCGATGCGGCCCAAGGTGCTCTCAAGCACTAGGAAGCTGAGATCGACGTACGGAGAGCAGAGGACGCTGAAGACAGATGAGTCGGGGGGAGACAACCTAGGCAGCCAAATCGGAGTTGACGGCACCCAGCATGATATGAGTCCGCCCCCAACAATGTCGAAGCTTGCGTCCTTTGCGTTTGAAGAAGAAGAGATCGAGGAAGACGACTCTGCTAGAGGCGGTGGCATCATTGATATCCATGCGCTCAGGCAAGCCGGTGCCAATCATCGTTTTGCAGACAGCATGGCCGATTTGCTTGACAGAGTCGGCACGCCCCAGCCGCCCAGATCACAGACAGCGCGCTCGAGGCGCAACGCCCTATTGGAGCTGGCGAGTAAGCTGCGGGACAAGACGTTTCTCCGCCAATTTCGCGACCAGGGTGCGAAGGACGCCTTGTTTCACGCTCTCGGACAGGAAGAGGACTTTGTCAGCGGCTTCGTCCTCCTGTCTGTTGTTCTGGTTCTATTCACATCGTATTCGGTGCCTCATCTCGTTCCTCAGCTGCAGAGCGAAGGTATCGCGCAACTGGCTTCGAGAATGTTCAACATGGACGAGGATATAGTCAGCATTGCAGCGCAAAGGAAATCTAACTTATCTAGGAACGCACAATCGTCCCTTTCTGCTTTGAAATCTACGATACAGCACCTGGATCTATGGAAGGACTCTCCGCCCACCGTGCTGTCGCCCAGGACGGTTGCTTTGAAAGCCATATCCGTACTCTGCAAGGACGGTGACAGTACAGCGACACGACACATCCTCTCTAGCTTGACAGATCAGCTATTTGGGTTCGCCGAGACAGGCTGGCAAGATTGTAGAGCTCATGGGATGGAGGGAACAGACGGCGGTCTAGCGCTTTCGCTCCTTGAAGGCTACTCGATTGCAGCAATGGAATCCGACGCCGGCCCTCGATGGACAAAGCGATATCTTCCCATCTTCGCAGATGTTCTCACGACAGCCATGGCTCGACCTCTGCAAGAATTCGGCGATTTCGAGTCGACAGCATTGAAATTGGCACTGAACACAACGAATAACAACCCCGTTGCTGCAAGCGCCTTTGGTAGAGGAGATCTTTTCCGCGAGCTAGCAGAGGCCAGCGTTGCGGGTTTTGAGCTCCTGGAGCAGTCTGTCCGCAAAGGGGCCTTTTCCAAGGATGTCTACGAGACACTCATGCTGCTACTAGGCGTCATGATCAATACGTCCGAGCACTCTCCGTCAGCCCGGCACTCTGTGGATGCGTGGCAGGGGCAGGACGGCTCAACCTTGGACAGGCTGGTAGAAGTCTACCTGGATAATCGCGATTCGGCTGGAACAGTGAGTAATCAGGGGTCAGGGCGAACTGCGCAGATATGGCCAGGCTAACATGGTTGTATAGGCTGATTCAGTCGAGAAGACCTCGGTTGCCGTAGCTCACGGTTACTTGGCGATACTTTTAGGTTACTTGTCGTTGGGTAGCCAAGTACGCCGGCGGCTGGAGGAAAAGAGTCATGGAAGAGGCACCAAGTACTTGCTCGATTCCATTCAGGAGTTCATGGCTTTGCACCAAAAATTGGACACGGATGAGTTGACGACAAGCTTGCAAAACCTCGTCAATGAGCTGAGGCAGAGGCATAAAGCTTCTAGTCGGTAGCGAGTTACAATCGGCACTTACTGGGGGACGATACATTCGGGTGTAAGGAAGTGGCTACAAAGTCAAAACAAGTGGCATTCTCAGCCACGCTTGCCGCCATTGCCAGCAAAATATTTTAGGAAGAGACGGTGGCAATCCGGCTTGGGGAGTCTAAAGAGCAATTTTTAACAGACTGGCGCGGCGGTGAAGGCCGGTGGATAGGCAGGCAAGCAGGTGTCCCAACAGCATGGTTTGCGAGGAACAAGACGCTTCCGTTGCCCATCGTTGGGTACTTTAAGAGAATTCTCATCACATAACCTTCGATTGGATGACGGACAAGACTGAGTCTAGCTGGATCCAGCTCATTTACCACAAATTATTGCTCAAATTTTCTAAAGCAGCGTCTGGATTCGATTACTATTGGAACCCTTCTGTTGTAAGGCAACCCCCGTACCGGAGACTGCCATGACGCAACTCACTGATACATACCTAGTAGGCTGATAGGCGTTAAAAGATGGGGCACGAATATCTGATGTCTTCGGCCGTGGAATTTTCCAGGTTGGGAGGGTTTTTTGCAGTATAACCTTCGGGGGAAGATGTTGCGGTAATCCAAATCCGGACACAATGTGGTGAAGGACATTGGAGGCACTTTTCTTACCTTATACAAGAAGAAACCAATACAAGCGAGAGGCAGCCAGTTCATAAAAAGGGCAATCTATAGTCACTCGGACTGTACGGTCTTGGATACCTTAGCGACGATATCGCAGATGGGATTCTTCCCTGGGCTGGCTTCGTGAGTTCCTTACCTCTTTCATCAAGGTAAGCAGGCCCCTTAGCCTTAGCATGGGTCCACTGCCAAGTCCAGGCCAGAGCTGGTAAGTGACCTGAGCACGGAGCAATGTGTCAGTACTAGCCTGTAAGGTATGTAGGAGAAGCCCGCCTCTCCCAAGACATGGGCATGTGCCTGCGTTGTATCCCGCTCTCTGCTGCTGGGTTCCATACTTGCATACGCCATGCCGCCGCTCCATTCCCCCCTCCATCAATCTCTCCATCAACATCCATTACTACTACCGCCGCTTTTTGCTATACCTTCACGCTGCAACATCAATCCTGTGCTTTCGGCTGCTCTATCCCTCCTACCTGCTTCGACAACAACTTCCTCCTCGCTCCTCACCTTGTGCAGCCATTTACTGCCTAAGGTAATACCAGCCTTCGATAACTAAAGGGCAGCACCTTACGTGCCCGCATTACACAGCAGAGGCACTACAGCAACAGTCAAGTCTCTACTACGACCCTGCCTTCTTTCAGCCTTTTCCCTACGAACTTCTTGAATCCAGCATTAGTGCGGGCATTCCCTCTCCAGCACAGGGCTCTAGCGACAATCCCTTTCTTTAGTTCGCCCCGTCTCCTACTCATCAGTCACATAAATGCCGGCGCCAAAGAACAGAAAGGTGGCCATCGTTGGCAGTCGTTCCGTCGGTTCGTTCTCTCCCCCATGACAATACGGCCAGACCATCCTCGTCTGCATTAATTATGGCACATGTCTGGTTCTGGAAAGCAGCATCCATAGACTAACATACTCACTTCACAAGGCAAATCATCGTTGGCAGTCCAATTCGTGGACGGCCACTTCGTCGATAGTTATTACCCTACCATCGAGAACACCTTCAGCAAAACAATTCGTTATAAGGGACAAGAATTTGCGACAGAAATTGTCGATACTGCAGGACAGGTACGTCATCCCCAAATTGTCGCTTTAAGTAACGAGAAGACGAAACGACGAGTTGCGTTCAGCAGAACAAGTTGGAAGCGCTATGCAGGGTTTCCGGAACGCTAGAAAGGATAAGTGCCTCGACTGACGGACAGAAAATTGTAGGATGAATATAGTATTCTGAACTCGAAACACTTCATTGGCATCCACGGCTACATGTTAGTGTACTCCGTGTCGTCTCTACCATCTTTTGAGATGGTGCAAGTAATCCGCGAGAAGATTCTGAATCACCTGGTACTTACACCCTATTGCGGAATGAGCAAGCAAGAGCGACGTACTGACTGGAACTACAAAAGGGCACTGAATCAGTCCCTATAGTCATCGTCGGTAACAAGAGCGATCTCCGTCCCGAGCAACGACAAGTCAGCGCAGAGGAAGGCAAGAGAGTAGCAGAGAAGATCCAATGCGGTTGGACGGAGGCTAGCGCACGATACAACGAGAATGTCGGGAAGGCCTTTGATATCTTGATTGCCGAGATTGAGAAGGCCCAAAATCCGGGCGAGACTGCAGAGGGAGGCAAATGCATTCTCATGTAGGAGTTTATAGAGACCATCACGTCAACTACACTTATACGCAGGCCCAAACCCGTCTTAAAAGGGTACCCAACCCGACTAGTGCTGACATCTTTGGGATGGTGACTGGGTAGCTACTGGAGAATTGGTACAGAGGTGTTTGATTCGAGTGGCGGCTTTTGAGATTGCTAAGAGTGCGCAAGGACATTGAATCACGCCGGTGAATTACTTGAGTAGTGTAATGCTCTCCGAAGGGCGGCCGATGGTCGTTCAATAAGGCACCTCTTAGCAACCTACTTTCCCGGATGCTATAGGTACCATGCGGGTGTTCGAGTCGAATGCAGGGGGGGGGGGCAACAGAGAAGTATCCGTATGGAAAAGGATAAGGATAAGGTAAGGTACTTAGTCGCGATAATGATGATAATAATCACTTCCGAAGTACCTAATAACCATACCTCACTTGACAAACTTACTACCTAATGTGGTACTGGCAGCTTGGGTGGGAGGATGGGGCCTACCTTGTTCAATGCACATTGTTATTCCTATAACTCAGGCGCCGACTGTGCCTTGCCCATTTGCTGGTTGGGCGCGCAAATTGGGCCTGTGGACCCCCTGATCTTACATCAGCCAGGTAGGAAATCAACTCGTGGAGTCTCCGGTTTGGTCGCTGCCCCGGGAACTGTCTAATGCGACATGCTACTACTAATTCCTCCCATGCCTCATATACATATCCTCTAACAGCCTTGTCTGCCCGTTGAGTTTATGAGAATATTGAAAGCAGCAAGGCCGGGAACCTATTTTCTCTCGCAGTACATACATTGACAAGCAGCTCTCACTTGGGCCCCTAGGAGAACCCTGCACAAGGAATCTACCATCTTTGTGCCCTCATTCGTGCAGCATCTCAAGTCAAGCGTCGAACACTAGGTATACAACAATGCATTGAGGCAAACAAGCTTTTACTGGATCCTCTCAGTTGATCAAGCAAAGTGCCCATTCACCGAAGCAGCAGGCGTTCGTATGTGTTGCATCGCACTGGCCTTTATATTGCCGTCGTTCCACTTGTCTCATTCCAACTTCATCTCATACAGCTCGCCTCCGACTCCATAGGATATCAACCTGGCTAGCCTGGCCCAGCTGAGGTCTGTTACCATGGAGCAGAACATGGTCTGTCCCTTTTGTGCGAAGGCTAGTGGAGGAGAGCTCGAGATGTTGCTGGTAAGTCTGATTCTATTCAAATGTCTCTACAGTCTGCTAACTACACCCCAGCACATGGAGACTTTCCACCCCGAGGAAGACGATTCTCACTCTTTCGCACCCGCAACTGGGACGCCGCGAGAGCAGTATGCCGACTGTCCAATCGAGGGATGCGGTGAAAGCATTCCTCTGGCAGAAATCGACTATCATATGGACCTTCACCTAGAAGAAGACCGCCAAGTTGCTGAGAACCCTAATTCCCAAGCCGTCATCCAATCTCGGCGACCCAATACTTCAACTGTTGCCGCCGCCTCTAGTAGCCACCGCGAAACCGCTGCCGAAGGTCAGAATGCGAGCGTTGAGCAATGGGGAAAACTGCTGTCGCTCACAGCAAAGTCGAAAGGCAAGGATGGAGAGAAACGACTCGGAGTACAGAAATTCCTCCTGATTTATTTGACACAGAATTCCGACTGATCCTCCTTAGAAAGCAGAGCTGGGGAAATATGCGCATGAACAGCAGATGCCAGACTGGCTCGTAACTCTTCTTCATAAAGGCGGCGAAGTCAAGAGCGACGGTGAGTGCCCTGCTGCGGCGTGGTCAGGTGAAACTGACGCAGGTAGGGGTGATTTCTGTTCTCGAGCAGCTCTTGAGCCAGAGCAAGTCCACCGAATATGCCTACTTATGCGACCCGGCCGTCCAGCATGTATCAAAGCTCAAGAAAGAAGGTATCGTAGTCGCGACAAACTCATTGGGAAAAGCTGATGCTCAATCACTTCTAGGAGGTTTTTGCGGCTATCGCAATATTCAAATGATGATTTCTTACATCATTGGCGCCAATGCCCCTGGCGTGGATCGTTTTCAGGGCCGACTGCCTACTATATTCGAGATCCAGGAACTCATCGAGAGAGCCTGGGACCTCGGTATCAATTCCCAGGGGCGGGTTGAAACCGGTGGCATCAAGGGGACTCGCAAGTATATTGGTACTCCAGAGGTAAGACGGGGACCAACCGGCAACATCATTGAATTCTTGGCCTAACTTCTGAGGCTCCTAGGCCCAGGCACTCTTCGTTGGCCTTCAAATACCGTGGGTGTATAAGTATTGAAACTCATGTAAGCAAATGGCTAACGGTGAGGCAGATGCACTGCTCAGGGGTTCAGAGACCAGGAACAAGGAAAGTCTGAGGCCAAGCTGATGATGGCCGTCGAGCAGTACTTCAAGCAGGAAGTGCATCGCCAAGGCTCAAAAGTAACCTGCACGTCACTTCCGCCCATATACTTCCAGCATGCCGGTAAGTCATTGTTCTTACCCCGCGAAAGAAGACAGTCTGCTAAGAGGGATATCATGTCTAGGCCATTCATTGACAATCGTTGGCTTCGAAAAACAAAAGCATGGCACTGCTAATCTGCTCGTCTTTGACCCCGTATTTCGCGATCCACCCGCGCTTGCCCGGCTTATTGGCCAAACTTTTAAGCACAAATCAGCAGATGAATCTCTAAAGCCATATCGCCGGGGCGCCAAGTACCTTCGACGATACCGCGAGTTCGAAATCCTGAGGTAGGTCCTGAGCACAGAGATCGGCCTAGACCGGGCTAACCACATCACAGACTTGATAGCCGAATTGCTGTGACCTCGACAGTGCGCAGTAGCTCTTTAATTTAGAATCGGTTCAAGAGCTGTCAAATCGATCAGGCCCGATCGTGTGCGTCTCATCTATGGCGGTCACTCGGCTCGCTGTTGAGCGAACCAGTCCTGCAACTTGGCGAGAGCAAGACCGCGGTGAGAGATCTTGTTTTTGGCCGCCTTGTCCATCTCGGCATAGCTTGATGACTCATTAGCGAGGCAAACATCTGCCAACACTCGATGGTAGACTTACGTCTGGCCATTGTATTCGAAAATGGCATCCCACCCTTGATGTGGTTAGCAACAACACACCGGAAAGATTACACCACGGTGTGCCAGAGTCCTGCTTACCAAAGTCAACCGGGCCTCGAGGCGGCACGATCTTGCCCTAGTTAAAACGTTGGCAAAGGTTTAGGAACGAACAACAATGTTGGTTGCTTACTCTGGTCCGTCCCTGGAAGAGGAGAGGTTCGCTTCCGGGACCCGGCGAGTAGGCAAAGGTGCATACGGCATCGGCGGATTTATCCTCATAGGCAACTAGTAGATTGTTTAGGCCTTGGTGGCCGATGGATTCCATGAACCATTTTCTGGGTGAGAACGGTCAGTCATCGAAGACAGTGCGAGGCGGGTAGACAGGAATGCGTATCGGCCCCAACATAACCTACATATAAGGGCCTGGGAGATCACCGAGAGCCTTAAAGCAGAGACAAGTGTCTTCAACCAGGACAGGCCCTTGGATCTAGAAGATGATCAAACGGAATGAATTAACATGCTAAGGATTACACTCTGTGTGTTTCGAGATACCGCTACTCACAGTCTCGGCAGCCTTGCGACATTTGGCTAGGGTGACTTCCTCAACTGTGCCTTGAACCTCCTCGAGGTCAACAGCGTGGCTTTGTACCGTGATTGCTGGTTCCAGGATGGCCTTGACCTCCCGCAACTTATTGGCATTGCCAGTGATGAATTTGACCGTCGGTGGGGTAGCCATGACGAAGAGATGGGAAAGGCTAAAGTTCCGGTCCGGTGAAGAGGTGTGCTGTCTGGAGGGTAAGCTATGTGCGAGGTGTTCCACAATGGATTTGACGTATAAGTACAATCATTCGTGTTATGTATGTAAGAGAGTCATCGTGCCCCCATCGACCACTTTGCTCAATGCTGGAGAAGGTGATAGCGCTCTGTTGCATTATCCACTTTCCTGACATCGTCTAGTTGCATATACTATAGTCTGATGTCGGAGGCACAGGAAAAGACTTGCGCGTGATGCGCCCAATTATAAGAATTGTTGCGAAGCAGACCCTTGCGTAGGAACGAAACCCTGCCTAGAGACAACGCCTAAAGGTCTTTTGGATACGAACATATCTATGTAGCTCCTTCTCCCATGTAGCATCGTCAGCACTTTCACAAGCGGTGCGATAAAGAAGACCTCTTTACCCTGGCACCTCCCCGCGACGGACTTAATTTCCCAACGAGACCGAGCTCGCATTCATTTTCCCTGATGCGTCGTCACTCCATCGTCCTCATCCACCTCGTCATGACGAGTGATCCTTCTTCCATTGCTCGAGCCATGCCTCAACCCTGGAAATGTTGGTCTCCATTTCATCGGATGTGTTGCTTGTAAGCTCCACAACTATCTCCTCATCGAAGGCCTCCCTGGCCTCTTGCAGCAAGACCTCCATGATTTCCGAGTCTAGATTTTCCTGGAGTTTGGTCTCGGGATATTTCCTGAATGGAGCCAACCCAGTCGTGTTAGCTCTCGTCATCATCCTTACTGACGACCTTGCTGCCACTCATTGGGAAGACGAAGAGAAAGAGATGGAGGGGGTAAAGGTAGACGAAGAACAACATAGGACCACACAGGACTCCCTTACCTTGCTGCTAGACGATCATAGAGTGTGGTCGAATCCACACGCAGCACAACAACGAGGTCAATCCAACTTTTGGGGAACAAGTCGCAGGCGTGCCAGTCAATAATGTAGCCCCCATCCTGAACGTCTCCCTCAATGGCATCGAGCAACTGAACCCCGGATTCATCAGTACAGCGAACAACTAAGCAACAGGGATACTGTGTGTGAGGATTTTCGCAATTGTGGACTTCATTTCCCACAAATGAATGTCATAGAACGACAAACCTTGTCCTCGTCAACAATCCAACTCTGAAACTCGTCGTCCCAGCCCTCATGGCACTCCCGATCTTTGACAACTTGGTTAACCGAGAGGTGCTTGAGGCCTGTACGCCTGGCGAGCTCTTCGCAGTGTGTCGTCTTGCCCACGCCTGGCGTACCAGTGACAATGATGTTTGGTGACGTTCTCATGTCGATGAAAGATTTCGTCTCGATGTTTGAATTGAGCGACTAAAGATAGTGCTGGTTTCAGGCTGACTATAGTTAAGTCGAGTACTGCTGGGAGGGAGGTAGAAAAGGATAGAGAACAAAACGGGATGCGAAAAGCTTCGTTTATTGCATTGCATGTAAGTGAGTCCGATGAGGGCCACTTAAGGTAGCATGAATGCTCGCTATGAATTACAGCACTCCGACAGCAACTTATGGATAGGGTTGGTGTGTGTGTGACGGTCACGTGCGGGGCGCCAGCCTGCCGCCCGCAAGCAAATCATCTATCTACGGCTTCCAGCTCCCAGGTTGGGGGTAAGTTGTTCCCAATGTCAACGCAGATAAGATGACATTTACTTAATATGTGCGTTCAAGAGTCTCTGAGCATTGAATCATTCAAGGGGAGGAGGGGAATCAAGCACTTGGAAATAACGTATTGGCAACATTGCGGAGCCTTATCCCGCCTCTGCCACTTGAATGCTTGCTACGTGAATAGGAAACAGATTGGGCGCTACTTTTACAGGGTCTGAGCCGCCGTCCCCCCCAAACTTTCGAATATGAATAGGCTGGGAGAGTGTGTTTGTTACACAAGTCTTTCCAACCCCCTATCTTCCCCACTTCCTCTTAATCACTCAATCGGCAACATCCACGATGAGACTGGACGCCATCACAACTATTGCTTCTTTCTACATTATCCATGCGAGAACCTGACGTAGTAAATCCCCAGGCTTAGCTCCCTAAAGAAGCTACCGACACACCACCACCCATTCCTGGCCACCGCTCACTTGATAGTCGTCATCATTTCAGTGGCCAGTCCTAGGTAGAGACCAGCGAGCAGAATAAGGACAGAACACTCTACAGGGCAGGCTCTATCGCCTACCTGTCTACTTATCAAGACAGACAAGGTCATCTTCTAATATCGTTTGGCTGTACACGGTTATGCGGCCACATCTTCCTCATCAACCTCGGCGAGGTCGCCGTTGGGCTCGAAGTCGTCCTCGGGATCGTACTCGAGCTTCTCTTGCTGAGCAATTGCTTGAGCAGACACAATCTCAGCAAGACGTTTCAGTCGTGGGGTTTGAAGCCCTATTCATGCGTTGTTAGCGAGGCCAGATCAGGTACGACTTTTGCTGCAGTTCACATACATGAAGGAGTATAAGTCTCTAGAGCGGTGATGACTCTGGGTTCGGCAATCTCGTACGGTCCACTGTCGTCCATGTCGACAGCCTGGAGCAGCAGTACATCACTCTTTTCCGTGACTCTGGAGGCAACAGCCTTCATGATCTCGCCGTTGATGGGCTGCTCATAGTCTGCGACCAAGTACTGGTTTAGGAGCTTTTGAATCTGGTTGGGCGACAGCCTGTGGAGGAACATTTTGTCAGCAGCTTCCACACAACCTTGTCGTGCATGAAACGGAATTCAACTCACATCCAGCAGATATCCTGAATAATCTCAATATCATTCAGTGTTGCCTTCTTCAATTGAAGAAGCTTCGTTGCTTGCTGTAGAAAGGGTTAGCTTTGCTTGATTCGGCCGCGTTTTGGGCGCATTACCATTAAGTGCTCTAATTGCAGAGTGCCTTCGGGCATATCGTGACTCTTACACCACTCCTCGATACGCGTGATGTTGTAGTTGATCTGAAGACCACGCTTCCAGGAGAGGAAGTTGCGTCTCATCAGGAGGTCGTTGAAGGCGGTGACGCCAACGAGACGAAGGAGTTCAGTGATGGTCTGCGTAATGATAGAGTCTTCGAGGTAGTAGGCCTTCATGGCGCGGAACACGCTGTTGAGTAAGCTAAGCAGGTTGTCCATGCTGTAGGCGGGAGTAGAGTTGGACTGCAGAAGTTTGCCAAGGAAACGACTGCTTTCGTTGGTGACAAAGCCCGGAAGCGACTGAGACTCAATGATGGCGGGGATGATCATCTTCTGCAGCTTCTTCTTCAAGACCTTCATCCAGGTGTGGTAGATATTGAACTCCAAACTCTCCAAGTCGTGCTTGACAATTTCCAGAAGACGATCGTACTCATAGTTATCCGTCTTCTGCGCTTCGTACCAGTCTTCTGCAAGGAAAACGAACGACAGCATTTCATGCACGTTGGAGAGCCAGAAGGCCCCCGGGTTGATGGCCTCATCGCCGTCATGCTGCATGACTTCCTGCTGAATCGACTGCATGACATTGGCGAGGAAGCGCTCTGACTCCTTGACAAAGCCATTGTTCCACATCTCGGAGGTAACCAAGTTGATGAGATAAGAGGGGAAAAGAACCTCCTTGTCAGACGGTGGTGGATTGGTGTTGGGCGAAGGAATCTTGAGATTACGGATAAGACCCATGGTGACCTCCTCATTTAGACCATCTTCATCAGCCAAGAGCGTCTCGAGCTCGAGCTCGATGTTATCGACACCAGGCATGAAGCCTGTGCCCTGCAGGTTCTGTCTGTGGGCAGTGCTGGTGATGGCCATCGAAACGGGACGGGGATTATAAGCAGCGCTGAAGCGGTCCACAGCTGTGCTGGGTTCGGCACCAGCACTCCTCCTCTTCGGTTTCTTGGAGGACACAAGATTGATGAGGCCAGGCGCTGCCGACGGCGGCGCCTGGACAGCCCCGTTGGCAAGCTCGCCGTTGGTCGGGGCTAGCCTTCTTGCCAGTTCCAGCTGATCTTGGAGTTCGGCGAGCTGCTGGCGCAGTGAAAGCTTCTCGCTCTCGATCTGTGCACTCTGTTGACGAACAGTGTCTAGCTCTGTGCTCGTGGAGCGCAAAGATTCTCTCAGCTCCCGCTCTTCCTCCTGCATTCTCTTGATATTGGACGTTGATTCCTCGAAGCTCTGCTGGAGCTTCTTCATCTCGTCCTCCATTGCCTGCAGCCTAGCAACTGCAATGCTACCCTGGTTGGCCTCGGTCTGGAGCTCCTTCGTCCGAGCCTCCAAGGCATTGTGGCGGTTCTTCCACGCCTTGATTTGGCCCTCATAGTTCTCCACCTGTGACGACAAGTTCTTGTTCTGTGCCTTCATGGTGCCGAGAGATTGTGTCAGCTCGACGACCTTGTTTTCGAGCTTGTACGAGATCTGCTTCAGATCACGGGCTTCCTCCCGAGTCTTCTTGTAATCCCGACGGGCGAGTTTACCACGCCACAGGCTCTGAATAAGAGTGACCTTCTTCCTGTATTGCCTCCAAGCCAAGACCTGTCGTCGAGACCGCCACACACGCTGGATGAGCATAGCCGCATTACCTACGCGGGTCTCCATGATTTCTTTTCGTCGAAGGTAACCTTTGGCCGCCGCTTGCGCCAGGACGACATCGTTCCTGATGCGTATGTACTCCTTTCTTTGCCGTTGACCACGCCAAACCCGCTGTATTGTTGTTGCAGCTTTGACGGTGCGGAGCTCCTGGACTTGCTTCCGCGCGTTGTAGGCTCGCACTGCGGACTGAAAAGTCACGATGGCTTTGCGGGCCTCGAGGTAGCGACGGCGGTAGAACTTAGCACGGAGGTTCTTTTGAATGAGAATGGCGCAATCGTTGAGACGGTTTGTACGCAGGTTCTCGAGGAAGGCGAGCATGCCGGCACGGAAAAAGATCTTGGTGAGGCCCAGCTGGTACTTATCGGAACCTTTGCCAGAGCTGGTGCCAAGTGCCTTGGTAAGGATAGCGTTGGCCATTTCCCGAATCTCTGACGCCCACAGGTCCGAGTTGATAAGCATGTAGTAGCGCAGGGCAAACTCCTCGTATGTCCATCGAGTAGGGTAACCAGCGCAACTTATGCGAACAGTCTCGAGAACACCACAGGCCCGCAACTGACTGAGGACCATGGGGCCCTCGAACTTCCACGCCTCTTTCGCCTCGTTAGGCTTGATGCAACGAATGTAGTGAACGTCTGTGTTATTGATGGTGTTCATGAGCTCGATGAGCGAAGAACGGAAGATACCTCCCAGCGTCGGCTTTCTGTTGACAGCCACGCCGATCTTCCTACCAGCGGCGGGCTTCACTGAGCTCGATGAAGCGGAGGCGACGTCCTTTTCACGCACGGCAGAAGCTGCATCCAAAACATCGCGGAGGAACTTATTCGTCGAGGCACGGAGAACCGCCATATGCTCATCAGGCACGGTGTCCCGATTCTTTTCGATGAAACCCTCAGATTCGTAGGTGACATCCACAGCATAGTGGCACACAGTGAAAGCGGACTTGCCGAATCTAGGCTTTTTGTAGAACTTGTGCTTGTCGGTGCCGTAGTTGTGGTGCAGTTTCGTGACAAATTGCTCGTCGGAGCCCATGGGAAGACGGGACTCTTCGTCCAGCAGGGACAGGATACCGAGCTTGCCTTCGATAAGATCAATAGCTGGTTGATTGTCGGAAAACTCGATGAAAGTCCAGTCGATCTTTTCCCTTAGATACTCCTCTTGCTCCAGCTTAAAAACGTGTTGGTTGAATTCTTGCTGTAGCTTCTCATTGGCGTAGTTAATGCAGAACTGCTCGAAAGAGTTCTTGGCGAAGTGCTCAAAGCCATAAATATCAAGCACACCAATGAATGAGATGACGCGATTCAAGACTTCTTCAGTTGCCAGACTGTGGTTGATGATGTCGACGAGCCAGTCGAAAAGGCTGGAGTAGATGAACTTCGCTACCGAATCACGGACGACAATGGCTTGAGCCTGCGTCAAGTTTGACGTAATCTTTTCGCCTCTGGTGACCAGCTGCTTTTTGACGATCCACTTGGCAAACTCAGTTCCGTTGACACCTAGAATCGATGAAGCCAATTCAAGTGAGGGCTCTGTAGGCGCGAGGACACTATCGTTGCGTGAGGCTCCAATTTTGATGTTGCCGAGGTGCAGCAAACCAGACAGGAGTTTGAAGATCTCCGACTGTTGTGCGTCGGTGACACCAATTGTCCGCAGAGACGCCTTTGTGGCCTCAAACTCGGCCTTATCATCCACGCCATCGATCGTTGGGCAGTTACCCTGGTTGAGATACTCAAACTCCTCAATGGGCAGCAGATGCAGATCCTGACGCTCCTTGTCAGAGGCACCGGCAACAAGCTGGTAGAAAATGTGGTAGTTGCGCTCCTTCAGGGGTTGGAAGACAAGTCTGGATCGTTCTAAGAGGTAGGTGCGAATCTTAGCACCAATGATGTTGGTTTTGTCGTCGAACATAATCTCTATGTATTTGCCGAATCGTGACGAGTTATCGTTGCGCGTTGTCTTTGCGTTTCCGAAGGCCTCCATGATGGGATTCGTAGCCAAGATCTGTTCTTCTGTTTCGCTCATAGCTTCGGCGCCTTTTTTGGACCGCGTTCCCGGATTGTCAGGGGATTCTCTGGTTGCGAAGTATCGCATAATGTACTTGGCGCTGACCGTTTTTCCAGCACCGGACTCTCCAGACACGACAACAGTCTGGTTCTTTCCGCTTCGCACCATATCACTGCAAAAAGTTAGCCAGTATTCTGTGACTACCGTCATGACATAGCGCGAGAACAGATTGCCCTACATGAAAGCTTCTTCTGCAATGGCGAACAAGTGCGGTGCTTGCGTTGCTCTCTGCTTGCCAGCATAGACCTGGACCATGCCTGGGACGTAGAGCGAGTCTACTCTCGCGAAAGGGTTCGCCGCAATCAGGACGATTCCACTGTATGTGTAAATTTCCTTCTGGGCATATCGAAGGCGGATGGCTTGCAAGACTAGAAGCACGTAGAGTCAGCTATGACATTGCTAGAGTATCAATGCAAGATAAGTAGCGTACCTGCAGGCTCGTTGAGATGGGACAAATTCGTCAAGTCGTCGCTGGCCTCGAGCATGGTCGGATTCATCAGGGGAGGCAGGGATGAATCGCCTTTCTGGAGTGCCTCGGCGGTGACCTCAACCGTCTTCTCCTATGTGGTCGTCAATACGCGTTTGTAGGCCTGGCCAGGGCATTAGAGAGACCGTACCTCACCATTGTCCAGCTTGAAAACAAGCTTAACCTTTGAGCCATCCTGGGTCTTGTTGACAACCTCGGACGCGACCCAGCCCTCTGTAGCATCGGGCTGCCACGCCCGCGTTCCGACATCGTAGTTCTCCGACATTGTGACAGCTTCGAAGGTGATCGATGAACTAAGTACCGGAGATGGCGATGGAGGAGAACTAGTATTCCCGGGAAGATTGGCGGATGGGATTCGGTAGGTCTAGGGCTGGGAGCTCGGAGCAATTCGTGAGATTCATGGGCAAGCGAGTGGGCAAGAGTTGCGAGAGAGATTGCTTATGGTGATTGCCAGAGGCAAATACCGTTGGCCTGTCTTGTGTGTCGGACTCGCTACTATCGCTGTCTCGATCGTAGTCGTCGTCGTCGTCGTCGTCTGCTTCGCGTTGGTCGTCGAGGTAGGGGATGAGAAGATGGAAGAGTAGGAGACGAGGAAGATGGAAGGTGGCTTTGGAGATGAAGGGCAGGCCAGCCTAGATTTGGTACCAACCTTATGGGTACGTTTTGTATGGGGCCCTTGTAAGAGATGATTGATGAAGGATGGGAGGTGACAAGAGAGACAAGAGAATGAGAGTGCACGCTACGCAATGTTCAACGAACGACCAGCGGGTTTATCTCCAAGAATTTGACAAGTTGGGATAGATTGCACGCAGATGTAAAGGCGAAGAATAGGACGTGAAAGGGGCGGGTAGATCAATGGCAGCTGAAGAAAGGAGGACGGCCGTACCTGGTGTGAACAACAGAACTGGACAACTTTTTGAGATTCCAACGGACGTGGAGGCGGACGTGGACAGGGGCACCAAGTAAAAACGCCAGGTGAGAGAGAGCTGGGCTTGGCCAGTTGGAGGGACGAGCGCCCTGAGGTGAGGTGATGTTTCTGGCCGCTGCAAATGTAGGTACCTACCTACCTTACTCCTAGGTATTACGTGGTTCCTGAGGTAGGCAGTGGCAGTAAGGTGCCTGGGTGTACCTTACTAAGCCAAGTTACCTTAGGACGGTGTCTGAAGCAGTATCTTCTGTCCACCCTATTATGAGGATTCCCGTGTTCCATTGGAACCCGTGGTACCTTGCCTTAGGTAATGCAGCGCGGGTCTAAAGATAGTGATTTGCAGGTACTAAGGTAGACGCGTCCAGATCGGTAGCGGAGGGGAACAGGCTTCAAAAATGCCAGGCAGGCAAGTCAATATCAATTCAATTTGCCTCGGACTTAAGTATGTTACTACCTCATGGCCAAAGAGAAGATCGCCCAGCATGGTCGGACCAATCTTGGAAGGCAACAATATGAGCCAGTCAGACGAACTACGGAGACTCGAATCCACCTATGCTCAGACTGTTGTCTTTCAACCTCGAATTCTCTATTGAGAGTTTCCTTTGACATCTTCGCCGGGAGGACGGGAAGGGGATGGTCCGGCCGCCGTAGGTCAGCAACTAAACCATTCTGTCTTGGTGGCATCCGTAAGGTGGTTTGAAGCATCCGACCAAATTGTTAAGTCAACCCAAATCAGGCTCCTACTCCGGTCAGCTTCTCGCTGCCTTTTGTGACATTCGGCTCCTTCATTGGTGACAGTCAAGAAAAGTCGAGGAGACTTTCTGCAACGAGCACCCCGAGTTCGCACCATGATTGGTATCGGAAGAATTCTGGCATGAAATCATTAGGCACCATTGCAAGTGGCTTGGAGGGATCGATGAGATACCAATGTCATCAGCAGCACCATCCATTCCATTCGGTCATGTTTTCCTTTCCTTACTGGCTCTCCATCTCTTCAATAGTTGAACCCTCCAGTTCTCATAGGCCAGTCCAGCTCGGTGTAGCGTACAGTGCCTAGATACTAAAGCACCGAGACGCCCTATGAACCGCAAACTCTGGCTGGCTGACAACCAACAAAGACGAAGGTTGAAACAACCGTCACTCTCGGGTCTGCGCCAGACGGCGTGGAAAGCGTCCAGGAAATCCAAGGAAAGCCGTGCTGAGAGCTTTCGTCCCAAGCTACCCAGCCGGTAACCACAGACATGTTGACCCTCAGACACACCCCGTCAGTTCGCCAACGCGTCGTCGTTGTCAGTCACAGTGATGTCTCCTTTTCCTTGCTGTCCTAGCGCCCTACCTTAACGAATGGCAATACCTATGGATCCTTCTTTGCGCTGTGCACCGTATTGTTCACACACACAGTCTCTCTACCTGTACGCTAACTCCTCTGTCACACACTGAACCAAGCCCGAATACACGCTTGTATCCCTCAACATGGTCATACTCAGCGCTGCTTCGTTTTCTAGACTTCCTGAATGTTGTTGAAATCGGGCAATTTGCATACAACGACACAAACAAGTGACTTGCCTGTATCCATCACCAAACGCCTGCCCTTGCCCCTGCCGCCTGGGTTGTCTTCATAGGTCCCATCCTATCCTCCCCGAGTCCCCTGCAGCCCCTTTCGCCATCCACTTTGCTCCCAGTCAAACCTGTGTATTCAGAGGGCAAATTTCACTCAGCTCCATACCGCTGGGGATTTCACACCGTGCCAGTATTTCCCGTCATGCCATTTTCCATGCAAACAACGCTGCCCAAGCTGCCTGCCGGATGCCACTCGTACCATCGTCACTGGCTCACGAGCTCATGGCATCCAGACGCTGGCAGAACAGTGACAGCCCGATTGATGATCATGTATGTCGTTTCCTCAATCCCTTGTGTTTTGCTCTAAGGATCCGACACTGGCTTTCGTAGACTGACCAGCATTGGCCAGTTCCCGCTCCCTCGTCAGCGATCAACTATGTACTCCTCTTTCTCTCTTCTCAATGAAGATCGATCTTCTTCATCCATGATAATTTTGGGGGAAAGCGGGGAGGGGCGTGCTCATGCGTTGTGGACTTGAGGCCCGGGCTCGGCTCCGCTGCATCAACACAATTTCCGAGTTAGCCTGACCCCTTTTGCTAATTCTCACTTCTGATAGGCTGTTCGGTGCTCATACTCACCGCCATGTTCATCTGCTATCCTGAGGCACTGAGCAGCAGTAGGTATGCATAACCAACCAAGCACGTGCACAGTAAAGTACCTAGTGTCCATGGCGGGACAGTTGGTATTAGGCGCTGCCTTCCTTACCTTGTGCCATGGATGTATGTTATAACGTCCGCACCACGCATCGAGGTCGTGTTCTCTGTAATTGCAAATGTTGGTTCCGTTCTGTCTCGTTGTAACTTCTACCACATTGATTTCTTCCCAGCCATGCCCATATTTTATCTAACGACCAGCTTTTATATGCCTTCAAGTTGATGTGAAACCCGGTACTCCCTTATCCAAAGTGCCCAGATCCCATATCGACATGTTGAGATGCTGTCTTGGGTCGCTGAGAACCTTCTTTTTTCACGAACCAGGAATCTTCATCACAAACGCCTTACCAATGCCATAGTTTCTACTTGCGCGTCTAGTACAAGACGCGGGTCATGATGCGTGCTGGATCCTTGTGTAAGTGACTTTGAAATTTGCGACCGCATGTCCGGATCGGTACTCACAGCTCAGAGAATCCAGACCGTCGTTGATCTCCTTGATGTCCTCGGCCTTGACGCTGCTTACGTCGGCCATGAGGTATGCAATCTAGCGCCAAGTTAGCAGACCGGCTTCCATGCTCGACTTCCAAAGTAACTCACGTCGCCTCTGCTGTCGGAAATCTGCTTGTCAACATTGTGGTTGCCAAGGATCTCGTTAACTGCCGTCCGTTAGCACTATACAGGTATACCAAGTGTACTAATCATGGGCATTCTCTCACCTCTGCGCAAGACACCGGGAACATTGCGGTGAATATAGATGACCTGGATTTATTGATCAGCCTTCTGTTAGCAGCGGCGTCGTGCCAAGAGTTGCTTACACGAGCGTGGTCGGGCTCATCCAAAGTCAATGATCTCAGGTTAACCTCGGGCAGGTTAACACTGTTGAGCGTGGTGCCCTGGTTGATATAGCGAACAAGCGCCTCGGCAACTAATTCGAGTTAGTTTGCGTGCTTGAGCAAACCCCTGGATGTATTCCTTACCTTCGACACCAATAGCGCGCTGGGCCTCCTCGGTGCTGCCACCAATGTGTGGCGTCAAAATGATGTTGTTCAGGCTACGCAGATCCTCGCCCCATGTGTTGAGTGAGCTGTTAAAATAATCGCCGTTGGCCGCCGGCTCGTTGGGGTAGACATCAAGAGCAGCACCAGCGATCTTGCCAGAGCGCATGGCATTAATAAGAGCCTGGATGTCGACAACGCTCCCGCGACTGGCGTTGATCAAGTAAGCGCCAGTCTTCATCTTCTCGAGCTGAGCAGTAGAGATCAGGTTCTTGGTCTCTGGCAACTCAGGCACGTGCAAAGTAACGAAGTCGGCCTCCTCGAGCAAGGCTTCCAAAGTGGGTACCTGAGTCGCGGTTCCTAATGCCATCAGGTTCACGACATCATAGTAAACGACGTTCATGCCCATAGCCTCGGCCAGGACCGAAAGCTGGGAGCCAATATGGCCATAGCCCACAATGCCTAATCTACAGTCAGCAAATGATAGTGCATCCCCCGCACCATTTGGCGATACAGAGGTCAGGCATGGCAAGATTACGTACCGAGCGTCTTGCCACGGATTTCCCAGCACTTGGAGCTGACCTTGTTCCAGGTGCCGCGGTGCATCTCGTTGGAGCGGTCACCAAGCTGACGGGCCAGGGTGATAATTTCGGCAATAACGAGCTCTGCAACACTGCGCGAATTGGCGAAGGGGGAGTTGAAGACAGCAATGCCGTGGGCGGCAGCGTATTCGAGGTTGACCTGGTTCGTGCCGATGCAGAAGCAGCCAATGACGAGCAGGTTCTTGGCCTCACGCAGGACCTTCTCGGTCAACTTGGTCTTGGAGCGAATACCAATGACATGCACGTCCCTGGATGATCACATTGCATGAGTATGAGGCATTCTATGACTCTCCTCATCAGACTACGAGGCAAGGGAGAGGCCTACCGAATCTTCTCAATGAGTTTGTCTTCGGGGAGAGAGGTCTTGAGAGCCTCGACCTGGTAGCCTTGCTCGGTCAGGATATCTTTTCCTGTCTGATTGACATTTTCGAGAAGCAAAATTTTGATGTCCTGGGTGTTGAAGGGCTTCAGAAGCTTGGGGGCTGGCCTCTGGGCAAGAGCAGCGCCGGCTCTAGCGAAGCTTGAAGGGGGGGAGGTGAAAGTGGCGGTTGGCGAAGTTGAAAGTCCCAAGCTGGCGGAGACTTCGAGCTGTCTTCCATGCGCAGATGCGCCGGTGATGTCTTGTGCTGAGCTCATTATGTGTGGGTTGTGCTGGTCTTGCTGTGTGAGCAAGATGGATGGATGGGATGGAGGGGCAGTATGATTTTTCGATGCGGGGCAAATAGAAGCACGAGAAAGCTGCCAGATCAAGAGCTGCTGGGCTGTTGTTGGGTGGGAAGTCGAAGGGAGAGGTAGAGCGCCGGCTGGTATACGACAAGATTGCTAGATGAGCAGAAACCGGGGATAACCAAGGCAATGAATGGGCAGAGGTAAAATTTGGGAAATATTTCTGGGAGGAGGAAGTTTTTTAATCACCTCATGTCAAGTAGCCAAAATGACGCGGGATGTGAGACGGAGGGCCGTGACTGATGTAAAATAATGAGGTACCTACCATACCAAACCTTGGGAGTGGAAGGTGGTACCTGATGACTGTTTCCAGTCCAATGTATGTATCTTCACTATCATTTAGCATGCTTGAGGTACCTCGCGCTGCCCTTTTTGTAAGGTCATTGACGTGCCGTCTGCTGGACGCCTGTGGGGGGCACCACAAAGGGAAGGATCCAGCGAGACAGACACCGATGTTATGGGCAGGTGGTCCGGGATTCTCCCGCCGCATGTGGGCACTGTCTTTACACGGTGCGGAGGTCGGTGGTGGACAGTAGACATCTGCCAAAAGGAAAAGAATTCATGCGCGGCTCCAACGATCTGCTCAGGTTCGCACAGTGAATAAAGTCCGACCTGCCAGCGGAGCACGCCCGAAGGCCGGCAACATCCCTCAAGGTGTCCGGCACTCGGTCGTAGACTCGACTCTTCAGGCCCAGAGGCTACCTCAACTTACCACCTTACTCATTCCAGCCAAGCATGAGGTGCCTTCTGGGGCAGTCTGGGCCCGGGATTGACTCACTGCTCCTCAGCAGGTGGGTTAAAGAGAGAAAGGGAGGAAGGGGAAAAAAAAACCAACTTCCTCCGGCGCCGGCGCAGATGGCACACCACACAATGAGCATGAGACGGGACTGGCCACGACACCTCCTTTGCGTGGGTCGCGGCTTGTTTGAAGATTTGGCCGACGCATTAAAATTCTACTTGGTGTAGTATATGCTTTTGACTAAGATAGGTGCTCTTATTACCTTACCTTACCTACCTACCTGCCTACCTACCTGCCTTACCCAAAGTCACAGACCTGACCAGCGTGCCGATTCCGGACCGCACATCGACCTATGCGATTTCGTCGTCCAAATCAATCCATTAAGTGCTGGTTAGTCCAACGGCCGCTCCGACCTTCTAGAGGTCCGCATGCACCGCCGCGTCCGCCCTTCAACTCCCCGACACTCTACGGAGCTTCCATATTGGTCATAACCGTTCAGCCCCAGGGCGACATCCTGACAATGGAATGACATTCCTCCATGCCTTTCAAGTCACTTATATATGCGACTAGGCGCTCCAGTTGCTGCGACATAGCGAGAATGCATTGATGAGTATGCCGTATCCTTCTAAATTGCGCGCAGTACACGAGCGAACTGAGGGTTGGAGTGGCCCACAGCCATATGCGGGAACATGCCCGGGCACCGTCCCACCCCACCTTGGAAATGCAAGTAAGAGGAAGATTTGCTTATATGACTTATTTCCTGTCTATTGCTTCCATTGTTAATGCCCGTACCCGTTTTACATGAAGGAAAATTCGGGTGAACACCCTTTCTACAAATCCATTTTAGCACCGACGTATAGCATCATTCATGACCAGAACGTAAGATGGCCGTTTCGTTGAGAATGTTTGAGACCAAAACGTCAATTACCATCTATCAAGCGAGAAGCTCATCCATTCAATGCTGCTCTGCTTGGCTTAACCCTCAAAGCGGGTTTGTTGACGTGGCGCCATGCGTGACGCCGCCGCCCTTCATGACGCGAAAGAATCAGAGCATGACCATCACGCACTCCCCTAATGAAGTCTGTCATGAACGTGAAGAACCTAGCAATCCAGTCGACCGACACGACAGTCATCGCTCAGCTCTGCTTGCATTCAGCCGCCTCCTGCTTGGGCTTGCCGGTGTCGTCCTGAAGTATGGATCAGTATCTGCCATCGTAGGATCCTCGGGTTACGCGTCACTTACGTCGTCCTCGGACTCCTCATCCTCGTCACGGTCCTCACTAAGATCATCCTCGTCCTCGTCGTCTTCATCGTCGAAGTCACCCTCCAGGTCATCATCGTCGAGCTCCTCAAAGGCCAGAGCCTCGCCGGTGAACCAGTCAATGGCACGGGGAATGAGCTTCTCCTTGATGTCTTCACCGAGTTGGTAATCAAGCTCGAGGCGCTCCTCGATGTCGGAGGCAGCGTCATCATCCTCGTCGGCCGGGGCCTGGGGAGGAGAGAAGAAGTTGAAGAAGGATTCGGTGGGCACCGTCTTCTTGACAATTCGGGTCTGCTTGGTGTCTGGAGGAGGGATTAGCAGGTGCATCGCGATGGGCGGTATGTGTGCAGAACTTACTCTTGTTTCTCTGCTTCTTGCTCTCGACTCTGACAGTCAAATCTTTGCCCTCCTTCCACTCAATCTTGTCACCCTCGGCATGGTCGTAAATGAAGTCACCGCCGTAGCCGCTTTCACTTTGGTAAAAGTACGTCTTGGTGACGGTCTTGTTGGTGAAGAACTCATTGTCGGCAAATTCGAAGATCAGGCGGAAGCCGGGCTTGTCGAGGTATTCCATGCGGATATCGATCAGGTGCTTGAGGGCGGCCTCGTCGCGATCGGTAATCATCTCGGCGAGAGAAATCTGGTTCTTCATAGCAGACAACCAGAACTCGGGGATACCAGAAACAGGCTCAGTAGATTCGGCAGCCTTCTCGCCCTTCTCAGCTTCCTCAACCTCCTCATCATCATCCTCGTCATCCTCCTCGCCAGCCTTGATCTCCTCCTCTGTAGGCTCAGAGGCACCGTTGACAACCTTGGCACGCTTCTCGTAAAGAGGAGTGAACTTGGCAAAGTACTTCTTCTCGAGCTGGAGAACCTCCTCTTGAAATTCGGCCTCAAGCTTAGAGTGTTCCTTCTGGATGCCTTTGAGGCCGGCAACACGGCGACGCACCTGGGGAGGCAGCGACTCGATGTAGCCGGAGGATCGGCCAACGAGAGAACCAAGTCTTCCTTGGATCATCTGGACGAGCTTGGGGTTCTGAGCAAAGATGGAGGCGGCAGCGGCACGATCGAGATCCTCTGTGAAATTGGTGCACGTCAGTAACGGGTCGAAAGAGGGGCGGGTGTCTCCAGAGGTGAAGCCCCAAAGTGCGCGCAAGAAAGACGAGAGTTGAACATTGCAGCGGGGGTTTGGGTACATACCCTCCTTGATGCTGGCGACGCCAGGCTGCTGGGCATGCGACGAAATGGGCGCATTTTGAAGGGGAGTGTTTTGCGGCGTACTGTATGCTCAAGAGTAGATGTCAGCCATGGTGATCGTGGAATGGGGCAAGGGAAGCCGAAGGAAGCGACCCCTCGCCACCGGGTAGAACAGTGCCGCAAGATTTTGTGACTTACGGCGCGGTGGCCGGATCGAGGCGCTTGTTACGGATGGGCTCAGCCATTATGTGCGTTCGAGTCTTTTGATCGTTCGTATTCGATAATGGAGTGAAACCACAAGAGGCGTGGGACAGAGAAGTCCCGGGCTGATCTGGGAAGGTTGCGGTTGATGGAGTTGGCAGGGTAGAGAACGGTGCCGAACGTGGGAAGTTGTAGATGCGCAGTTGACTTTATTTTGGTGGGGGGGGGGAAGGCAATGTGTGGTATTGGAAAAAAAAAATTGGGAGAGAGGCTTTCTCCTCCGTTGGGGCGGGTACCGCAAGTTGGCGCCTGGGCTCCTCCTATGGTTAGGCGGGCATGGCGGGCACAGCGGGTAGCGTGCTGCCAATGGATTCCACTGCGGGCGGCTTCCACAAAGACAACCTGAGCCAAGGGGGCCGGGGTGCCGGGCAGACAGTTCCATGCAATTGGACCTCATGAGGCAAGATAGGTAGGTACCTAAGGCACCATACCTACCTACCTACCTATGCGTACAAACCTAAGATTCCTTAGGTAACCTGGTAGGTATGGAGGAGGCATGGACACCAGGTGGTGCAGCAATGGTTATCCGAAAGGTAAGGTAGCCTAAATAAGGCGGGCAGGCACCTAGGCAGTCCCGCATCACTGAGCTGGGCTCTCTTGAGAGGTAGTGTTTATTGGTCAGAGGTGTTGAGAAGGCATCGATCTTAACAGAATACCTAAGCAACAACGACCTTCGAAAACTGCCCTGGGGCTCTGAATACCTCTTCATCGCTGCATGACTGCAAAGGTTCCAAGAGAAAACCAGCGAAAGAAATCACTCGATATCAGTCAAACCATACCATTGCAGCAAATTTGACCCAGGCAAACTCAGCATTGATTCCATACTTACCTACGATATCCGTACGTGGCTGGTGGCGCTGGCCAAGTGAGGTAATGCGGGGATTGCAGCGGGGGCTACTGGGGCCACTACCTAGGTACTTTAGGTACCTAGGTATCTCAGTCACAGCGCTCCCTCGCGTTCGTCCTGCGCAGCCTGGACGGCAACCAAAGTATCATCATCTAAGGTAGGTATCAGACAAGTCCCTGCTATGTAGCTAGATATGTGCCCGGTATAGAACTGTCTTGCATCGATCATTCCCATCAATATTGAGCCAGACCAGGTTGGTGCATGGTTCTGTTCGATACTGCCTTTGAAGTGGTTACCCGCAAAGGTCTCCGTCGGCATATGCCGAGGGTTGCTTACCTAAAATTCCGACGGGACAAAATTCCCCTCCCCTCTGCCACCCCTCCCACCCTGATACCTACGCCATTCCGCCCTTCGTAAATTCCAGCGGTTCGTTTCCTATCAGTGCTGCAGGTGGCCTAGGTACTTTAGTTGCCCAGCCACCGTACTCGCATGATACGGTTGCTTACCTACCTTCGCAAGCAGCTTGAGTTACCTTAGGTAAGCAGGGAAGGTTCATGGAAGTGTCGTCACATCCTTTCAGAGGTACAATTACCCATGATAGATACCTAGCTAGCTACCTTACCTAAGGACGGAGAAACCTGTGTACCTTACTCCAGTCGCCTCACAATCCCTGGGAATCTGCAATGCTTCTTCCGTGCCAACTTAAGTTGCTTTACTCTTGAAGCGCTTAAGTATGCGATATGCCAACATACAATCTCCGTAGCTCAACAAGACAGCTACGGGTGCCTGGCTTTTCCTTGCTCCTTCGCGAGCTCGAGCTAGAAATTCAAATCCCAGCACTCATCCAGTTTGAGGACGATTGAGCCGACCGTGCGGGCATCCGCGTTGACTTTCTTGACCTCTCCATCGAACCCCCCCCCCCCTTCTCCGAAATCGCATCGCAGCGCATCACAGCATAGCTTCCTCGAGCTTCCCCTAAACTGGTTCTTCTAACTCCCGCAACCCAACTAAGCGTCTCGACCCACGGTTATGTGCCGTTGTCGCCAAATTCATAACACCGCTTCTCTCAACTCGAACCTCGTTTCGGCAGTCCAGCCACGCCTTCAACCTCTTGTCTCTCGATCTGGAACCTTCGATACCGTTACGGCGACTAGATCGCCCTGAGGAAGTCGCAGATATGCCTGCGCCAGGAGAGAATGGGCATCATCGTGCCTCCTCTACATCGAGGAATGGCCATGCGCCGCTCTACCGGCTCGACTCGAATCAGAGCTCCACGAGCATCTTTGAGGAGGTGGAGATGGCCCATGACGAAGTCAGACAAACCCAAGTCCCATCCCCAATTGCGTATTGATGCTGATCATACTGTCTGTAGCTTTTCTCTGGACCTATGGCCGAAAGCCTCCCTACCAGCGTTTCAGCCTTCTCCCATCGACGGCCTCGTGCTGACTCGACAACGAGTTTTGCATACTATCACGATGAGCCCGAAGCCTCTCCTACTTCGTTCGAAGATGAACGCCAAAGCCTGTCAGATGTGGGAGATTTTGCGTTTGGTGACGAGGAAGAAAGCTACGCTGATTACGAAAACGGCGAAACCATCGATGATTACATATCCCAACGCAGGCGATCGTCAACGCACTCAAGATCGTCTGTTCACGCCCGTCTCTTGCGCCAAGACAGTGGCATGACCAACAAGAGCCTTGGTGGAGACCGTTTAAGCCAGAAGGTCTACATGGTGAATGAGGACCTGACCATTGCCATTGCTGGCTTTCGGACGAGTCGACTTGGCTTCACTGCTTATGTCGCACTTTGCCTATGCACTGCTGGTATCGCTTGGCTGCTACTCAGATGGTTTCCTAGATGGCATGTAAAACTTTTGGGTCTGCCGTCTCCACTAGCTGAGTGTGACTGGGTTGTTGTCGAGGTAAACTATGCCTTTCCCCTATTGTTGCACACGAGCTGACTTCGTCTAGAATCAATGGGGAGAATTTGCCCTGATGGACGTAGACAAAAAGCTGTACGGTAGACCTATGTCTACCATCTTTGGCCACACTGGAAAGAGCTACGGGGTAGATGATGATTACGACCCAATCATCACCGAATTACGCATGCTCAACTATCGTTATGTTCGCTTGTATTTCAACCAGCAAAAGGACAAGTTTGTCATATTCAACGGCTGGGTTGACCCGAATTGGACCGATCCTCGCGCCGTACGTTCTGGTATAGACAGTGATGAGAAGGGACTGCGAGCAGTTGTATTTGGAAATAACCTGATTGATATTGAGCAAAAATCAACGCCGCAGTTGCTCGTAGATGAGGTAAGAAATCGTTTGTAGTGATAGGTCGAGATACTAATCGTTGAAGGTTTTCCATCCTTTCTACGTCTTTCAGATCGCTAGCCTGATTCTGTGGTCTCTTGACGAATATTATTACTACGCCGTGGCTATCTTCCTAATGTCATTTGGAAGTATCGCCACCACCCTCATTGAAACCAAAGCAGTAGGTCGAATTCACCATTGTCTTTTTCTGGTATAACCAAAGGCTAATGAACCCAGACGATGAGACGACTCCGCGAGATTTCTCGCTTCGAGTGCGATGTGCGTGTACTTCGAAACGGATTCTGTAAGGACTCAGCTGCCGTATGAACTTACTCGAAATCCTGACGGACATAGGGCGATTTGTATCCTCGAGTGAGCTCGTGCCTGGTGACGTTTACGAGGTCAGCGACCCAAATCTGACTCAATTTCCGAGCGACGGCTTGCTTTTGAGCGGTGACTGCATCGTTAACGAGAGCATGCTGACAGGTGAGTCTCACTCGCAAGTCCTACTTCCGCATCAGTGAAACTTGTTTGGCTTACATCTCGCTCTCAGGTGAATCGGTCCCTGTGTCTAAAACACCGGCCACCGACGAGACGATGTACAGTCTCGATTTGGCTGCACCGACCGTGTCGCCAGAGATTGGCAAACACTTCCTCTTCTGTGGTACCAAGATCATTCGCGCCCGGCGACCGCAGGAAGAGCGTGACGGAGACGCTGTCGCCCTAGCACTTGTGGTCAGAACGGGATTCAGCACCACGAAGGGATCCCTTGTACGGTCCATGCTCTTCCCCAAACCATCCGGCTTCAAGTTCTACAGAGACTCTTTCCGGTACATCAGTGTCATGGCTATCGTAGCCATGCTTGGTTTCATCGCCTCTCTCTTTAATTTCCTACGGCTGCACCTTGCCTGGCACCTCATCATCGTCCGTGCTCTCGATCTTATCACAATCGTGGTGCCGCCAGCGCTACCCGCGACGCTCACCATCGGGACCAACTTCGCGCTGAGTCGACTGAAGAAGAAACAAATTTTTTGTATCAGTCCACAGCGGGTCAACGTAGGTGGTAAGATTGATATCATGTGCTTTGACAAGACCGGCACCCTAACAGAGGACGGATTGGACATACTCGGTGTTCGGGTTGCATCACCAGTAACAGGTAGGTTCACGGAGGTGCTTAACGATCCATCGTCGTTCGTACAGGCACAGGCCGGAGGTTCAGCCCAGATGTCAAAATTGAGGGCAGCCTTGTACACCATGGCAACTTGCCACTCGCTGAGGTCTGTGGACGACGAGCTGATGGGTGATCCACTTGACCTTAAAATGTTTGAGTTTACAAGATGGTCTTTCGAAGAAGGCAAACAAAGTCCCAACGAGGCAGACGACCAAGATCAGGGAAGCCTTTCGCCGTCAGTCGCCCGACCTCCAGCTGAGCATGATGCTCTTCTGCGAGGCGCCACTCAACAAGGAGATCAATCGGTAGGCTGCGGACCCCTTTCGATCAAAGCTAGACTAACCCAGTTGACCAGCAATTGCTTGAGTTGGGAGTGCTGAGGTCCTTCGAATTCGTTTCGCAGCTCCGTAGAGCAAGCGTCATAGTTCGACAGTTTGGACAGCAAAGTGGGGACATATATGTCAAAGGCGCTCCTGAATGCATGCGCGAAATATGTCGCGAAGACAGCTGTGAGTGATCCATTTCTGCCGAACTGATTTCGGTGTACCTCGAAAGGCACTACTGACCTTGAATGCTCTCTTCGACACATAGTCCCAGTCGACTATGATGATCAGCTTGCCTACTATACACACAAGGGTTATCGCGTCATTGGCTGCGCAGCTCGCCATATTCCAAAACTCAGCTGGGTCAAAGCCCAGAAAATGAAGCGACACGAGGCCGAGTCTCAACTGGAATTCACTGGTTTCATTATTTTCGAAAACAAGCTTAAGCCGACCACAGCACCTGTACTGACTGAGCTACTGGAATCGAATATCAGTACGACGATGGTGACAGGTGACAACATCTTGACCGCCATCAGTGTTGCTCGTGAGTGCAACTTGATCAACAAGACTGCGCACTGCTTCGTTCCTAAATTCATAGAAGGCGAGTGGCGACAAGTGAGGCATCTGATTGATTCTAACAGCGAGCAGGCAACGCCGGAGACCCAAAGGCTCGGCTACGGTGGGAGAGCATTGACAACGGAGGTTTCCAGCTGAACGAACAGACTCTTCTTGCAAGTTCATTCCAATTTTAAAGACATTATTGCAAAGCTAACTTTGTTGCACAGCCACTACCACCTCCGGCTGACGTCGACGCATCATTGGCATACAACATCAATGACATCCGCAATTACTCTCTAGCAGTCAGCGGCGAGATTTTTCGCTGGATTGTGGACTTCGCGCCTCCATTGGTGTTGCAGAGAGTATATTCTTGCCCCGGAGCGTGCCACCTGGCTGCCTTTGCTTACGATCTTAGATGCTGGTCCGTGGTCGAGTTTTCGCGCGCATGTCTCCAGATGAGAAACACGAACTGGTTGAGAAATTGCAAGCGATCGGGTACTGCTGTGGCTTTTGTGGTGACGGTGCGAATGATTGCGGCGCTCTCAAGGCTGCAGATGTCGGCATCTCCCTCTCAGAGGCGGAAGCTTCCGTTGCAGCTCCGTTCACGTCACGCGTCTTCGACATCGGTTGCGTTCCCCAGGTTATTCGGTAAGTGATTTCACTACGCACGAAGCAGAGTATCGTCATAACACGTATCATTAGCGAGGGCCGTGCTGCACTTGTGACGAGTTTCAGTTGCTTCAAGTACATGAGTTTGTACTCGGCCATCCAGTTCACGTCCGTCAGCTTTCTTTATGCTACGGCTTCTAATCTCGGTGACTTTCAAGTAAGTTGACATGATCGCCAAAAGCGTCATCACTGGCTGATTACTCTTTAGTTCCTGTTCATTGATCTACTATTGATTCTTCCTATTGCCATTTTCAGTAAGTCACGAGTCTAGTTCAGGACCGTTGAATGAAACGCTTATAAGTATCGTAGTGAGCTGGGCTGGGCCGTACCCTGTCCTGTCACGAAAAAGACCAACCGCAGACCTCGTCTCTCGCAAGGTGCTCATACCGTTACTGGGCCAGATGGTCATTTGTATACTCGTGCAAACTGCTGTATATGTCGCCGTGAGAAAGCAGTCATGGTGAGCGCTTCCTACCTTGCTCCCACCATCATCTTTACCCATTGCTAACTGCAAGAAAAGGTACGTACCCCCACGTGTCAACCATGACAAGTCGAATATCAAGAACTCGGAAAACACGGTTCTATTCCTGGTGTCATGTTTCGAGTACATTTTGGCGGGCGTGGTCCTCAATGCGGGCCCTCCTTTCAGGGAAAAGGCGATGAAGAACTGTAGGTGAAGTCGGATTGCAGCGACATTTGACCAAGGAACTAACACTGAAAAGGGCCGTTCATGGCAACCATCGTGGCAACCATTTCAATTACAATATGGATGATCATTGGCCCGGGGCATTCAGTAAGGCACCTGATGCAACTTACCAAGACAAGCTGGGACTTTGAGCTCTTCATGATTCTACTCGGGGGCGTTTACTTGGTCGCGGCATGGTTATCAGAAAAGTATATCTTCCAAAAGCTGGCTCGGGCCGTGGGACGTTTCAAAGAAAACTTCCTGAAGAAGCCGAAGCAAAGAAAGGAGTATAAAATCATTTTGGAGCACATGGAGTTGTAGAATTACACGGTTGAAGAGATGCCTTTGCGGCTTGATCGGACACGTTGCCATATTTCCATGTAGAGTATGGCGAATATTGCCTTGATGTATCAAAATAAAGAATCGAGTGTAGTGATTAAATTACGTTTCTATGTGAATATGATCTTCTAAGTCTCGGTTTCTAGCTCGGATGTCAGGATCGTGCTGTATCAAGCTACCTGAGTTGACCGTAAATGAACGTGTCATCGATGATCCACCGACCCGCATTCCGGTGCCGACCTAGCCCAGGCGGGTCGCTCCGGCTCCGAGTGGCCGGGGTCGCGGTTGCACCCTGCCACCTGCCACCCCAGCCATAAGCACCGCTAGCTAGTCGATACAATCATTTAGATCAAGCTTCGACTGCTACCTTTTACTCCCAGTTCTCGTGCCAGTGATCTCCGTTGAACTAGCCTAAAGACCTCGCATCAACCAACAGCCCATATTGCTTTAGACCTCACCAGAAGCGGGTGCTCGGACATCGCTTGGGTTTCAAAGTACAATACAACCTCACGCGTTGGGACTTGGGCCACAGAGACGGTCAATCCCTCGTTTCTGCCTCTCTCATTCCACTAACCTTCGCGAATCACCTTTACCGCGAAGATGAACATGGGTACGTCCTCGCACACAAGCCTCATGAAGCTCATTGTGAAGTCAGCATGTGACTGGACAACGCCTCTCTAACGCAACATCTAGACTGGATCCTCGACAGCGGCTACCTGCCCAACGCCGTCATCAGGATAGGTATTCGGCGCCAGCTTCAGGAGCGTCTCGACTCCATCGCGAGCACGTCTCTCGGCCTCGATTACGAGCGGAAGATGACGTTCATCGAGAAATTGCGCACTCAGCCCATTGCGATTGAGACCGCTACGGCCAACAAGCAGCACTACGAGGTTGGCACCGGCGTCCTCGCCGCATGCCTTGGCCCCCGCATGAAGTACTCGTGCTGTCTGTATCCTAAGGGAGGCGAGACATTGGCACAGGCGGAAGTGGCTATGTTACAGACGTATGTTGAAAAGGCCGAACTCAAGGATGGTATGAGTATCTTGGATCTCGGGTGAGTCGTCTCCGGCCCTTTCTATGCATCGTGAGATCATATGTTAGATTTAGGGCCCGACTGACGTTTGCAGCTGCGGTTGGGGATCAGGAGCGCTGTACTTCGCCGAGGTACTCCCCAACTCCAAGGTCACGGCTTTTTCCAACTCCAGGACGCAGAAGGAGTACATCGATGGGAAAGCAAAGGAGAAAGGCTTATCAAACCTCACGGTCATCACGGGTAACGTTGTTGACTATGAGTTCGAGCGGGAGTCTTTTGACAGAGTTGTCTCTATCGAGGTATGTAATTTTCCCTGACCGCTAGATGCTTCCGATGAAAAGGATGTTGACTGTAACAAAAGCTATTTGAGCACATGAAAAACTACGAGCTCCTCATGGCAAAGGTGGGCAGGGCCTTGAAGCCTGGTGGCAAGCTTTTTGTCCACATCTTTGCCCACAGGACCACTCCTTACGATTAGTGAGTAACGGCCGCGATGTTGTTCATTATCGGGTAGCGCTGACCGCGGAAATCTCAGTGAGGAGGGCTGGATGACGACATATTTCTTCACAGGAGGCACTATGCCTTCCACCGACCTGCTCCTATTCTTCCAACGAGACTTACAGATTCAGAAGCAGTGGTGGGTCAACGGACAACACTACTCCAAGACGTGCGAGGTAAGCTGCCGCCGATCGCCTCTCTACCGTACATCAGTCTCAGTATGACGAGCTAACACGAGCATCAAGCACTGGCTGAGCAAGATGCTTGCACATAAGAAAGAGATCTGGCCGCACTTGGTCGAGACATATGGGGAGCAGAACGCCAGCGTGTGGTTCAACAGATGGCAAATTTTCTACTTGGCATGTTCCGAGCTGTTCGCCTACCAAGGCGGGGATACTTGGGGCGTGTCGCACTACCTCTTCGAAAAGCCCAACACTCAGTAGAAGAAGTGACGGATAGAGATGAATCCAAGCATAGTTGAGCTTGCCGTAGTTGCTTCGCACCCATAATAGAGTAGCTAATCGTTGATTCCTCTGCCTATATTTGCCTGACTTTTGGACTGGCGAATTCCGAATGATCTGTCGATATCGCGCATCTTGCGCGCACTCCTCAAACTCCTTGTTCACCAGGCCACCCCCCTCTAGAGCTTTCGGTTCAGTGATCCCAAGGGTGCTTCCAGCCCAGCAACACAGCTCCTGCACATTTCCGTCAGCAATCACGCAATCGGTATTATCGAAAGTCATAGGAAATATACCGTCTTTCTTCGCGCGGTACATGAGCTATCGATGGCGCAGGATGACATTAGCTTCCTCGGCCTCGCGGTATCAATAAGGGCTTCGGTAAGGGACATACGAAAAACCACATGCCAGCGCCCAGGGCAGTCGCTGTGAAGCGGTACACACCAGGGACGTGAGGCGTCGGGGGCTTGGGACCGGTATACATGGCGAAAGTCGAAACGCCGGGCGCGTCGTTCGGGGAAGATTCTCGATGGATGGAGGGATTCTTGAGGTTGCAACTCGTCAGCAGGCCGCCAGAAACTCAATTGAGTCCGGCTGAGTGGGCTCACATACCTTGGATTCGCCTTTGCCTCTAGGCGTTCTAAGCTTTGCTAGGAAACAAGGTCGGGAAATTCGGACAGTGATGACCGTTCATTAGTACCCCATGGGAAGAAACGTCGTTGACGGACTGACAATCTGAGAGGTCCTTGGATGCTTAGGTAAGTCGGCTTGTGCCGGAGTGTTGGACCAATGGCAGAAAGTGCATTCTAAGTCGCTCTTTTCGTCTTGGCCCAGGGGACTACCCACTTAAGAGCACTGAGTGACTCGTGCTCCATTCACTCGGTAAGTGTCTCCTTTGCCACGACTTGCAAGGCACATAGGTACTCCGTTTCTTACCTTAGGGATGGATACCTATTCGGTACCCACCAACCTTCCATTGGGTGCTTGGCTAGCAGCACCTCACTCTTCCGAGTTCCAACTTGCAGCGCCTCATTGCCGCAGTACCTACTATCCAGGCCAGTACAAAGGCTCAAACCCCTGGGCAGTCTTTTAGCGGCGTCAGGGTAGGTGGTCGTCAATTCACCGTTAAGCCCCCCCCCCCCCGGCCGGATAAGAACCCACCCCTCCCCAACTCCAGTGACAGTCGCGGCATGAGATAGTTAGTGCCACCTATCCCTCCACCTGTCACATACACGTACATACATACACTCATACACTTGTTCAACACCAGCCTGTCTATCTGCGCCTGCATCGACTATCCATTCTTCCACGCAAACTTTTGCGACCTAACCCGATTCACACGCCCGCTCGTTCAATAAAAAGCCAACTCTCCCCGGTCTGGATTGTTTTTGTCAGCTGGATATCTAGACACGACGACTTACGCCGATTATCGACCAGCGGACGATTACATCACCTAAATCTACAACAACCAGTGCATGCAACATGGCAACTCCTAAGTTCAACTCAAAGTCACCGACTATACGGCGCATATGTAAGATGCCCCTGAAACGTTGGATTCTTATCCATCTGACCACCCTGAAGCCCGCTAATCAATCTGACCCAAATCAGTGCGTGAAGCCCAAGAACTCTCCAGCTCTCCATCACCAGATTATACGGCTACTCCATTAGAATCAGATCTATTCGAATGGCACTTCACTTTCCGCGGGCCACCCAACTCCTCCTACAGCGAAGGCATCTACCATGGCCGTATCGTGTTGCCGCCTACATATCCTCTTCGCCCGCCAAGTTTCCGGTTCCTTACACCCAGCGGCCGTTTCGAAACCAATAGGGAGATTTGTCTAAGCATCAGCGGCCACCACGAAGAGACGTGGCAGCCTGCATGGGGCGTGAGGACTGCACTCGTCGCGTATGTCCGGCCTTGGGCTCCCTCTCTCTGCCTTTCCAGTCCCTATTAGAGATATTTCCCCGTTGACTAACAAGATAATAGGTTGCGCAGCTTCATGGAGACGGACCCCCGAGGCCAGCTGGGCGGTCTCGAGACAAGCGATTCTGTGCGGAAGCGTCATGCCATCGCATCACACACATTCAAATGCCCAACGTGTGCAAAGACAAATATTGAAATCATCCAAGAATGTGAAGAATCGGCCAAGGCCAATTCCGACTCACCAGATTCAGCGACTGAAGTTGAGATACCCTCCGAGCTGAAGCTTGGATACAAGGATGAGATGACTGAGTCTAAGGGCTCAGAAGGAGGATCCACGGAAGCAGTGACACCGGTGCCTCCGACACCAAGGACCGAACCGGTGGATGCAGAGAGTGCCGAGCTGGCCGAGGGCTTTGTTCGTACGGCACCTGAGACAGCTGTGGCGGCCAGTTCGGCATCAACATCACAATCACCAGCAACGGCGGCATCCTACCCTCCTGCGCGTCCAGCTCAAGGGATTATCAACCCTACACGGACGGTCTCGCTGCCTCCGGCCCCAAATCTTAGTGTTCGCCCCCAGGCACCTCCAACCACCCGTGCGTATGACGAAGGCGTACCACTCTGGGTTGATCGAGCCATTGTTGTTCTCGTTGTACTTCTGCTGGCCATGATTCTCAAAGTCTTGCTTGACTTCTAGTCACGATGATGCTCCTACAATTTGCATGAGGGGATTCAGCCCCCGTCACCCTGGATGAACGCTGGAATGCGAGAACCTGCTTGTTTCACGGTTGCCGGCGTCTGGTTGAGGTTATCTAGGCGTTTTTGCTTGGCTATGTCCATGATATATCGTCACCCGGAAACTTGTAGACTTTGTTTTATTGCTACAGTGGCCACTGAGCCAAAAAGCCCATGTTCCCAACGGGATGGGAATACTACTCCAATGAACTTTTTGGATCCTTGACCTGCACTCCGCAGGCACTGCTCTCATACGCGTGCTGTCCCGACTACCCTCTTGATATCCTCCTTCACGAGTCGTTCACACAACATTCCGCTGCTGTCCAACGACCAGCCACCACCACTCATCCACGGTGAAACTCTTTCCATAGGTAATACCCTTCAACACACCGTATCTTTCCCCCCAGTCAAACACCATCTGCACCTCAAACTCTTGTACATATGGCTTGAGCACGGCACAAACGGACGCGACATCCAGGGGTCCTCGAGTTGCGACAACGAACGCAACTGCGCCAAGAACTTGTGCCCAACGATCATGGTTGAGCTCCCCAAAAAAATCCGACCACAGTGGAACCGCCCGATTGTGGTTTTCCCTTGGCGGCTTGCTGTGCTTGGCTTTTTGTAGGAGGGCCAAATCTTCATCGTAAATGTACTTCTCTGTGGCTTCGATCTCAAGACCAAAGTTGTAGTACGACTTGGGGTATTTCCTACTTTCGTAATTGCCCGGGTCGAAACCGAGAGGGATGTTCGGGACATCAACTGTGGTGACGGCAACTCTTCCGTACGCCTGCAAATTCATCATGGCCATGACCTCGCCATCCCTCAAGACATAGGGAATCCGGATCTTTTCGCCCCGTCGGAAGCTTACATCAAGTCGTTGTTTGAACTTGGCGGCGTCGATGTACTTGACCTCATTAGTCCACTTTATGAATCGCGGCAAGAATGTCTCGGTGAGGCGGTAAGGGCGGCCCTCGAGTGCTTTGAGCTTGCTATCCGTGATGACACCTTGACCTTGGAGAGTCTCGACCGCTTGCTCAAGAAGTGATTGGATGCGCTCCTCGTCTCCGCCTCCGATGCTCGCCATCTTCTTCCTGATATCTTGCGGCGCATATTTATCGCGATGCGTGTAGCAAAGGGAGCGCAACCACGACATGGCAATGGCTAGGTCCTCACTGTCCTGTGACAGCGCTCCCCCATCCTTATCCACGAGGGAAGTCGCGGGGCGTGAAGTGGCCGCCTCGAATCTGTTAAAGACAGACATCTGAAAGTTGTAGTACTCGTCGCGCCAGTTGGTAACATCCGTCCAAGCTGAGCCGAGAGAGTAACCCCGTTCCAGAGCAGTCTTGCTGGCAGGCAATTCCTGCGAATCCTCAATAAGACCAGCGGTCCACTTGATAAGGCGCGACCAGTCGTAGTCGACATAATTGTCAAAGTCAATGGGTGGGAATTCTTCGTTCTCGTAGGCTGAGATAAATTGAATCTGGAATCGCTCAGAAAGCTGGCTGATGAAAGTTCCACGATCCTTTCTGGCTTTCGACCAGAATCGTCGCATGGCGCTGAGGGCCATGTCGGGAAACAAGGTCATCATGAGACCCCATTCTATAATTCGGTCGGCACCACCAAGAAGTGTTCTTGTCACGACGAATGCGGCTATCAAGATGGTTTCATTCGTCTCGTCGAGCCCGGCGTTTCGTCTCGACGCATCTCTCAGGTCCATGTCTCTAGGTAATGGTATGAGCGTCCTGATTTTCAGATCGATTCCGACCATAAGCTCTCTTGGCTCGGTCCCGAGCTTGGTCTGTCGTCGCTTGCGCTTTCTTTGGCGACCAATCTCGCCGCCCCAGAGATGGTCAGTTGCAGTCGTTCCCTGTTCAGCGATTTGGAGGCTGAACAAGGCAGATTGACTGAGTTGGTTCACAGGATCCCATTCAAGTTGGGGGTTCTCCCATCCGCCGGGAAGGTCATCAATGCCATGGTCGATAAAGATATAATCCGGGGCGATCGACCCCGCCAAAAGGAGCTTCATACCCTCAGTTGACAGCTCCCAGTCGAAGCAGGCATCGACCTGGTCGGAGAAGTCGTAGAATTGGCTGCTGCTGGGCAACTTGTCTCCAGGCCCTCCTCGCCACTTTGTTATCTCAGAGAGATTTTGAGGCAAGTTCTGTCGGAGGAACCAACGCGAATCGGGCATCCAGCCACTGATTGTCAGGCTACGGTCCTCCATGTCGAAAAATGCGCTCTCACGCGCCGGCCAGGTACCGTTATTGCCTTCGATAGTGTCGGCCTGGGCGAAGGTTACGTTGAACTCGTCGTGGCCCACGTCAGACGTTGGCGGGGCCGTGGCATAAGTTGGTTCTGGGGCCGAGGCATCAGGAAGAGGTGTGTGTTGGATGTCTTCTGGCATTTCGGGTCCCAGATATGTGTTGGGATTGAGAAAGATGATATTCGCAGGACAGCCGCTTCGTCCATCACCGAGAGATTCGGAGGGCCCAGCGATTGGTCCTACTTGCCCTGTCATGAAAAATCGAAAGATGTCTCTCTTGCGTGTTCCATCGGGACCTTGATCTTCTGCATGGGCGATCTGTTCCCTTGTGACCATTCGTTTCCTGCGTTTCCTTGGGGTCTGGGATCCCTCAGGGGGCGTATTTGGCCTCTCATTAGCTGCTTTATTGGCATAAAAAGGAGCATCAAGAACCTCCATCACCTGGACTGTCTTCCTACGGCTGGAGAAGACAGGCTGAGCGTCATGCTTGTCCTCCTCGGGTATTCCTGCCTTGGGCCTGAAGGCCGGCGGGATGTAAAGTCTCGGATGATGAGCCATGATATTCGCTTTCATCGCTGCGCCTGGCGGGGATGACGCTTCGATGCCAGGAATCCGTATCAATTGGTAGTTCGCCATCATGCCTTTGGAATTCTTGAAAGCATGCGTACTGACAACCACTTGTTTCTTCTTCGCCAACCTTGCCAATGCGTTTTTGTACATTTGATGGTCCGGCGCCTCTTCAGACGAGAACAGAGTTTCCCACGTAGCGATGGTAGCGTACCACAGAGACTGGCCTCCGGGGAAGACACCACCACTCGCATGTAGGATGTACTGAAGTGCCCGTTCCATGGTCTGTATTGTTGAAAGAGCACTGCTATCGGTCAGACTGGCTCTCAGCGCCTCTGCATGTGGTAGTGGATTGGATTCGATGACTGGTGCTGCCGTATCTCCTGAGCCTGCTCTCTTGGGACTTCCAATCGAACTTCCCTTTGCTGGACCCGAGTGCGAAACTCGTCGCCCCGAATAATCAGGCACTTTCGTTGGCGTCAAAAATTGCGGTGGATCGATTCCAGCAGTGTCTATGAGAGTCTTCCTGCGGCTTTCCGGGGAGATATGCGTGCCCTTGGCTTTGGGTGTGTCTTCCCCCCTTGCTTTCCCGACTGCTACCTGAAGTGAGGCATGTTTCGTTGGCATGTCTCTTACAGCGCTGGCAGGATCATCAATAAGCCCACTCATGGGCAGCTGTGTCGAGGATACCGGCGGCTTCAGTGCACTTGATGACCTTGACGCGCTCCCATTACTGCCAGTGCCCCTTCTCGCGCCTCGTCTTGTCTCCTGTAATACGCCGGATTCCCCTCCCTGATCGGTGCGCAGTCTTCTACTCCTGAAAGAAGTAGCCTCGAAGGATTGTATAGCAGCGGTGACAGCGTCATCTCCTCTCTCATGCAAGCCGAAGGCGTCCTCCTGGCTTCCCTCATCGTCCAGAGTGTCATTGAGGGCAGATAATCTCGAGTGCCGAGGTTTGATCTGTCGAGGAGGATTAACTGCTCGCTTCACCAGAGTCGATCGTTTCGCAGCTGGGAAAAGCTTCTCGGGAGGCCCAATAAGAGGTGCCACATAGTTTGGGTTGCAGGGTGTCTTCGATTTCTCGAGGTGGTATTTAATACCAACGTCGTTCTTCCAAGTTCCTCCACATTTGTCGCATTTGAAAATCTTGGAGCGGCCACGGGCAGAAGGTTTTGCTGACCCTTTCTTGGTCCGACGGCCTCCACGCTTCACAGGCACGCCGTCGGCAAGTGTATCGTCCACTGCCTCGGCATTGGGTATCTCCACTTCTTGGTTTAATCGTTGAGAGCCCACGACAATGGATTGCTCATCCGTTTGCAGGGCGGCAGGAACTTCGATCCCCTCGGCTGTCGTATCTGGTAGCGTTGCGTCTGGATTTGAAGATTCCTGAAGCTTGCCTTCTTGACCAACAGCAGCATGGATAGTGGACTCGTCTGTACCATGAACGGGAGGAACCTGAGGGATCTGTGGGCCTGCGCCGGCTTTAGGATTTTGATCGCTGTTGGAGAGTATTCTGGACAGTGCTGATGGATCTACTTTGAGTGTCACGATACTCGATGCCGTTGCCGATTCAGCTGGGCGTCGCCTCGTACCACGCCTGGTAGTCGTTGCAGAGGGGGTTGTAGAGTCCAGCTCTGAGCACGTTCCCGCTGTAAAGCTCGCGTCCTCTTCAGAAGAATCTTCGCCAGTCTGCTGTAAAAGCCTTCTTCGCTTTGCTTGACGCAGTCCTCCAGCTTCTTGAGCCCCATTGGCTCGCAGGATATCCGAAGCCTCGGCCTTCCTCTTAGTGATGGCATTGAGCGCCTTGCCAGAAACTCGAGCAAGAGCAGCTAGGCCACTGGCAATATAGGACAAGTCAGGGATTACTGTGGGATCTGTAAAATGGCCTGCCAGCGTCTTTCCACAGGCCCCGTCAGCCAGAGAATGATCATCACCCATCTGTCCAGTGAGTGTATTTTCAGCATCGGCGGCATCTTTTTGCTGGGCGCTGAGTGCAAAATAGCGGTATTGCTGAGATTTGCCTTTTCGGTGCATCTCACTCGATACCTGAAAGTGCCTGAGATGCACTGGCTGCTGTGTCGGGAGCGAGATTGTCGAGGAAATGGAGGATATATACCGCCGAAAGGATGGCCCCAAAGTCAAGTCTCCTAACTGCTTATTCGACAGACCCGCGGAGCCTGCAGCAGAAATATTGTCAAAGATCGTCGTCGTTAGTGGTTTGTCGGCTATCCAGCTGGAGCGTGGATTCATTCGTCTTCTGTTGAGAGCACGACCAGGTTCAGCCCCTGGACTTGGGGTGTCCATGCTGGCGGTTTTGCTTGCAGGATCAGATCCAAGATCTCCACCATTGAGACTGTGATCAAACTGGATGCTTTTCTGCTTCCCCGTAGCAAGATAGGCAGCCCAATCCTCGTGCGTAAGATCGTGGTCGAATTTGAGGCAGTCCTTGAAAAGTTTCCCAGACAAAGTGGCGCCAACATACTGGATGGCTCCAGTCTGGACGAAGAATCGACACGTCTTGGCTGCCACTTTCATCTGCCATCTCAGACCCAAAATGCCCAGTTTGCACCGTAGATCATGATATCTGATGATGCCAAAGGCCTTCACAATGGCCATTATCGTTTGGGCTAGAGAGATGTAGTCGACTGATTCCCCATTCCACCTGCCACGCCATGAGACAGGCTCTAAGTCGCACGCCAGGGCGTTTCGGGACATATCAACAGTCGTGTGCAGACTAGCCGTTGCTTTCAAGGGATCGATTGGAAGAGCTGGGGCAAAGCGCGTCAACCACATTTTGCTGGTCTTGGTTCCCCTGACGAGCGTCGTTCGTTTCGAGATATATCCCTTCTCTGCTAAAGCATCTGTTCTTTTGGGCAATGAGCGTTTGTCTTGGCCAACAAGTCGACCTAAATCGCCTTGCAGGATACCCTGCTGCTTAGTGGAGGCGATACCGACCAAGGCCATCCACTCAAGTCTCGGGACCCTTCGGTAGTCGGGCGCATGTCCAGCAATGGACTCCCACATGCGATCCTCAGAGACGTATATACGAGGCCGCTTTCGAAGGCCTAGAGTCTTCGGCGCCGACTTGACGAGGCCTTTGGGTTCAAAGTCATCTGGACCTTCTTCTGTGGCACCCTCTGAGGTACTGGGAGCTGCTGTTCCATCCTGAGAGTCTGGATCCGGCAAGGCGAGGATGTCAGCCAGAGGTACATGATTCCACTTTCGATTCGGTCCAACGGAGACGTCCTTCCTCACTCTCAGCCAGTCCCAGGCTGTAGACCACAGTAACTGGTTGGAATCCTCGTCTGTTGGCTGAGAGGGTTCTGCTGATGCATCTTGCCTAGGTCGGGTGTCCTTGTAAAAAGTGCCGAGTGAATCGAGTACATGCAGTACAGTGCATCCTATTAACCGCTTGTCAGTGAGATGCGCCAGCTAGAAAGTTTTCCAAGCCAAAATTTATTTTCGAACGCACGACTGGTGGGGGACATAGTCGAATGCCAGCCATCTCAGTTTAATTGCGTAAATTGTGAGTAGAATGATAATTTGGAAATGATGGATGAGAAATCGAGAGTCCTATTTCTCACAAGCGTGCAGGGTAGAATCACTCACCCAAGTCACCATAGCATGAGATGTCAGTGATGACTGACTCTATCAGTCGCTCGAGGTCGCGGGACATTGTGTCTCCTTTGGGGGGGTTGACATTATCAGGTGAACGAAAGCCGCATAGAAAAATTCATGCGAATAATGACGGCGAAGGTCGACGATGGAAAATCGAACCCAAGATGCCTGGGTTGGCGTATGCGGTTGGTCGAAAATTCCTTCCAGATTCCGGTTGGTTTTCCCCCACTACGTTTGAGTCGGCCAAAGATCTGGAAAGTGGAGGGGAAGGAAACCGCTGCAGTCTGGCCGCGTCGGGAACCCCGCCGTCATGGTGGGATACGTACCTTAGGTACAGCACCGTCCATGTGGCTGTGGTGGCTGTGGACGAGACAAGAGCCAATGTTACTTCGGTTGCACGTGATCTTGGCATGATATCTGATTCGCACTGACGGAGTCCGTTTTGACCTTCAGTTCTTGGACAACCTTGAGGGCAAGAGGGCCGAAGGTATGGGCTGGATATCTCGTCTCGCGTCAAGCAGACAAAGTATGAGGTAGACAATTAAATCAAAAATGGCTCTGGGTGAGCTAGGTTTTCATCGGCGTCTTCGAAGACAGGCTTTCATTGCTGCTAGTTTTGGGTATCTCGAGATCTCGTCACGGCAAGCTTAGCCAACTTTTCCTCCTGCTGTTTTCTGTAAGCCACAAGGAATGCCTCTCTGGTTTCCTGGAGCTCTTCACGTCTTCTCAGGCTACCAGCGGATTTTGGCACGTTGGAGACATCAACGGCCGCACCACGGACCAATAGCTTATCTCTGCCGACCTTGTGAAGCTCTGGCGGAGCCTGCGCGACATCATGGAGCCCTACTTTGGCCTCAGCACGCATCTTCTTGAGCACTGCCCAAGGATCTTCTTCGCGGTCTGCGCCCTTATTTTTCTTCCCCTTTTTACCCTTCTTCTTGTCCTGCCCAGGTTCGTAGAAGGCCTTTGAGGTCTGTCCGAAATTGCCAAAGGTACCGCCGTTGATCTCTTCATCTAGCTCGCGTTCGGCGATTTCTTCGAGCTCCTCTTCTCTCTTCTCTTGAATCTTGCGCTCTTCCTCACGCCACTGGTCATATAGCTTGTGCATCTTCTTCTCTTTCCGCGTCCTGACGGTCTTGAGACCGAGAGGATCTTTTCCGCCCCTTTCGGTCTTGTTGACAAGGTTGGCCAGAGGTAGGGCTGCGTTGACGCGGGCAGCGAAATCGGACATCTTCTCACCCGGCCGGATCGTGGGCATCTCGGGCTTCCCAGTCTCCTCAACCTTGGTCTCGCTCTGCGCGGCTGCTGCAGCTTTCTTAGCTGCCTTCTTCTTTTGGGCCACCGTCTCGCCATTATCTAGACCAGATCGTTGTCTCCTGCCCGACGCCAACGACATGATGCGCTTGAAAGCTCTCGGAGCATCGTCATCATTGCTGCGACCTTTTCTCTTCTTGGAGACGCCATCATTCTCTGTCTTTTGGCTTTTGCCATTCTTGCCATTCTTGGTGTTTTTCGCGTTGTTGGCTAAAGCTTTTCGACTTCGCAGCTGAACGGGAAGCGGCCTCGCGATTTGTGATGGGGGGAGATCAAATCTGCATGAAGCCGGTCAGTGTAGGCCACAACGGCATCCTAGGCGGTTAAAACTTACGCTGAGGGATCTTGTTCCCTCCTGGTATGTTTGTGAGGCATTGCGACTGACTTCAATGAATGACTTGTTGTGCGATTCAGTACAGAAACACGTTCCCCTCTAAGGCACTTCAAGGTTTCGTGATTGCAGGTGAGGCGGGATGATACGCGGCTCTGGGACGGGGGTGATGGAAAATTTTGTATTATGTCAGCGACGATAACAGGTGGTCGTCTGATAAGAACCTAAGTGAGGCACATGCTTTGGGGGGTACCCCCGCTCCACCTCATGAAACCAATGCCCTGTCGTGCCAGTGAAGGTACTCCGTACGCACCGTGATGCAGCTGCAGGGGTCTCCACGTCGGAAAGCCCCTAGGGCCGATCCACCTTGGACAGATCACACGCGGGAATCCCACAATCTGGCATCTTGGCACCTGATCAATGACAGTTCTGCAGCACATGGGCTGGCTTCACCCGGTCATAGGTACAAAAACTTTGCTCGAGGTTGAGGTACCCCTCCTGCATGCTTCGGTGATCATCTGTAGATTGATTTTTTTTTTTTTTTTTTTTGGTTTTTGGTTTCCCTGCCAAGCAAGTGGTTGTCAAGTCACTCTCGGGAGACTCAGACAACCAACAGTGCAAAGCCTTTGCCAATACAATCGATCACCTTACCCACGGAGGAAATGCGGTGCGGAGCTCGCCGAATATACCTACCAAATAAGCGACTCAGAAGGATGGTGGGGCCTGGAGCCGGCATCTAGGCCGAAGCACGTTGGAATTCAAAGCTTGTTTTCTCCAGTGAGATGGTCGTGTTTGTCAGTTGAGTAGGCTTCTTATGGGAAGTATACTAGAATATCCCTTTTGATGAGAACCAGGCTTGTCGCACGCATGGGCATGCATGGACAGTGCCCTTCCTTCATTGCCGCCTCGACGGATGATGCCACAGTGATGACCGCCTCATGTTGACGGAGAAGTGCAGCGGTTAAGGAGGCGCCGCCATGACCAGGCAAATGGTGGCGGAAGGGGGCGAAGACGTGCTATGCCAGAGACCAGATCAACATGAGGCGGTAATTGCAAGGTGGATGGCACAATTGCTACGTCCCAAGTTGGCGAAAGCAACTGTAGGGGAACGAGGTGAGGTATTTGCACCCGTGTCTGTCCCACAGAGCAAGCCCGACGGACTCTAGGATTCAGACTTCAGACTTCAGACTTCCGACTCGGAGAAAGGCGTGTTTCGCGTGTCGGAGATGTCGAGGTGTGGTTGAGTGAGGAGAACAAAGTCAATTACTAGCCGTCTGATTATGTGACACTTCCAGTCGTTTTCGGACGTGTCTCAGTATCGACGGCTGATGAATTGCGTACGTAGACGATTGCGCTGAGCTTTCTACCAAGTACTCTTTTCCCATACTTTTTCCCGACTTCATGTCGGCACCAGTCGGTGGGTGTTCATCAGTCAGTCAGTCAGCCCATGATCACGGTCAAGTCAGAAACATTTCGTGCAAGCATGGCCATGGCTGATGGATGGATGGCTGTTGTTTCCGGTTATGGGCGGGAAACGGAGGCTCGGACGTGCCGCCGTCCGCGCGACCCATGGAAATGTCCCGATCAGTCACGCTCTGGGGCGATGCCGCGATGGGCGCATGGCTGACACGAGCGTGTGCCTATTTTGGTGTGGCCGAGATATGGAGTACTGACAAGATCGCAGATAGACTTGGTCAAAACACCTCGCCTTCGGCTCGAGGCGCGGTGGCCGAAGTTCTAATCCGTACACAAACAAGCACGCAAGAAGCTTCCAGGCGCCACGCTGCCCTACCTTGGAGTTGAATCCACACATAGGCTGGCTGGCAAGTCGGTGGGATGCCATGAACCAAGGTGGTCCACGAGGAAACGAGGGCATTTGTAATAGGTCGTTCTAGGGCTGGCCTTGAACCTGGTGGAGGGCCAGGATCTTATGGGGATACCTAAGGTAGTTACCTAGTCCTGCTAGTGCAGTCTGGTCCAGTCTAGGACAAGCGCAGACTCCTCAGACCGCACATAGGTAGGAACCTCTCGGAAACGGCACTGGGGGCTGGTGCTACTCTTAAGCACATCAAGGTATGAAAGGTGCGCGTGACATAGATAGTACACCATCAAGACCGGGATCGCGAGAGGGATTTGATGTTACTAGCTGGTTTCTCATGGTCGCTTCAATGGAAGTTAATCCGCCTATGAGCTGCGCCACATGCCTGAAAGAGTATGGCCCGTAAGGCAAAGACGCGAGAAGAGGAGTAGCTAGGTACCTACGTATTGAGTATTGTGTAGGTAGAGGCGGCAGACCAGGTGAGAGACAGAAAGGAAAAAAACGAGAAGGAGGGATGTTAGCATGATTGGGACGGAGGGATGGATTCGAGAGCCCAGAACATGGAGCACGCCGTCTCTAAGCCGGTACTGGCTTAGCACGGGCCATCTCAGCGTTGAGGAAGCGAAAGTCCGTCCAGTCTTACTCTCGCGAGGTGCGGCGTGCGGCGTTCCTGCGACTTGCTCGACTGGGTTCACACTCCAAAGTAGGTATCCATCTGCGGGGAGATGCCACGGCGGGGAACATGACTTCTTTACGGAGGCAAGTATTTACGCCGCCTGTCGATATATGCGAGGTACTTCGTATGCACCAGATGAGAATGGTCAATGAAGTACCTTAGATGCTGAGGCGCTCCACCAAGGACCTACTAAACTCAAGGTACCTTAGGTCCATCGGTGGCCACAGCGGGCAGCTTTGCACACCACGGTCATTGACCACTGAGATGTCCGTATTGGTAGCAGAAGGCGCAGCTGCTGGACTGGATTGGAGATCCATGGCCGGAACCCCCTTCGCTCTCCTTCCCAAATTCTTTCTTCGTGCCTTTCAGCTGTAGGGCCGTTGCTGTCTCCTGTGCCAAGCCTCCAACCAATCTCCAAGTAGTGTACCTCGTTCTTTTTCTTTTCATCCTCGATACCTACTCTCTGAACTTCCGCACTGACTTTTCCTTGGCACCTCATGTTTCCCTTGTGCCTCATCCGCAGAGGCAAGAAGTGTCGAGGAAAGCGGCTGGGATGAGGGGTCTCAGGGTCTGGACAAATACCTGACTCCAGGAGGGGGTCGGAAGCAACTACAAGGTACCTGGACCTCGGGAACGCCAGAGTGCAGGGATTTCCCCGTCGGCCAGACCCTCGTCGACTCTCTTTCGCCATTCGACTGAGGCATTCCGACACGACAGGTTTGGTTTGAGAGAGGCATGCCGAATAACCTTAGTTGTTGGCCTCTTGTTTTGCGACTAACGACAATGGGACCTTGGTGTGTCTTTCCACTGGTCACAGAGTCATCGCCCATGCGCTACCTCGACACACTACTTCCATGGTTGACGTTCGACTTGACCCCAGACCTGAGAATAGTCTCACACACACACCCTCTCTCTCTCTTTTTTTTCTTGGCCTCACTTTCTTGCCCTGTATATTCTCCATGGCATGACTGTCGTCGTTGTCGTCGTCACTCGTCGTGGACGTTATGAATGACAATCCTTGCTTCGTGGCCTCTGACCGTGCATACAACCACAGACATGACACGATACATATCTCTGCTGCCTGGCCAAGACGATCCACACATTCAGATACCGTTGTCCCTGAAGCCCATGATCACATTCATTCTTCGTTACACTGATTGATCCTGGGCCTGAACCAACACCCCCCTTTCGCCAGGGTAACAAACACAAACAAAACAGGCGCCAGAAACACTCCCTCGGGTCCCGCGCCCCCCACCGTCTTGGGGCTAGCTAAGCTCCTGATAGACTTTCTTAGTCTTAGTCCCTTTTACGGACGTGGAACAGGACAGGACATGGATGACTTGGAAATGCTTGAATACGCCGCCCACTGACTAGCATTAGTCCCCCTTCTCCCCAACCAAGTAGGTACCTTAGCTTGTAGTGCCTAGCATGGATTCCATGTATCGCTACTGCTGCATTGTTGCTGCTGCCGCCGTAGATGCTACTACACAACTGGAGACATCACATCTTCTGGAACCATATGCCAGACACTAGACCCGTGTCCCATCCATAGCACAGCGTCTTGTCCGTTTTCTCTCTGTTGCTCACTCACGCCCTCATTCAGCTCACTGACTCTCTCTCATTCTCCTCCTTCCCCTAGCCCCCTTTCCTCCGACTTTTCAACGTGCCTCGCTGTCTCTTCATCTTGCTCTCAGACCCTCTCAGCTCTTCCCAAAGTCTGTTCTCAACCGCCGTCCCTACCCCAGCAGCCATCCCTAACCATGCTCGGATCTACTTGCCGTTTTAACCTTTATATCCCTACCCCATTCCGCCCTGTCCTTACCTCGCCCTGAGGTACCCGACCTTATTACCTACCTTCACCTTGCGGTGATCTTTAGCTCCAGTGTTCCCCTCTTGAAGCAGGCAGCAAGCCAAGCCAACAGCCACTTTAACAGATCCCGCTATATTTGGTGTCTCTCTCCCGCAGTTCTTCGCTCTTTGCCTCGTCCGCAAACATCCAGACTTTTATTCGCCCTTGCCTTTGTTGGTTTCCTCTTTGTGCACCTCCCCTCCACCACTGCCAGTCCCTCAAACTATATACTTATCTGGCCTCCTACCTTGAAGTGCCGCACAGCCTGCCTGACGGACTTGGAAACGGCTTGCGGTACAATAGCACTGCCGCAGCCTAGACTTACAGTCTACGAACCCTCGTCCTTTACCACGATATGCTCTAGAGATAAAGTCCAACCATCCGACGGCCTCTTCTTCTTGCCTTCTCTCTGATCAGGCGCCTCGGTCTCCGACCCATTGTCCGATCATATTAGCTGGAATATCAGACCTATTCGAGAATGTCTACCACAAAGAGCGCCAGCATCGACGCCGTGCGTGATCGCTTCCGTCAATTTTGGTCCCGAAACAGCAACACGATACCTCGTTACAGAGACTCTCCCGAGGAAGCAGACACCGCAAGTGAAGGCGGAATCGAAGTCCCGCCAACACCAGCTGAGAGTTTTACTTCCGAAGATGGATTACTCCCTCCTGCGTACATGATACCGAAACCATGGACACGGAAACGTTCCTTCATCATGTGCGGCGCTGTTTGGTTGGCCATGCTGTAAGTGTTGCGAACGGCGCAAGATTTGATTCACCGGCTAACTTTGTG